AATGTAAAAACATGCAGGTCATAGAATAATAAGTAAGGCAAAGATGAAGATATACTAAACATTTAAAAATCATTTAAAAGACATAGAATCCTTTTAAAGAGATTTTAGTAAGTAAAATTCAAGTAAAAATTTAAATTCAGCTAAAATCATAAAAGGCAAGAGAAGGGGTGTCTTAAGAAGGGATTTAAAAGAGATTGCTGACTCGGCTGACCTGATATCCTGATACAAACTGTAGTTTAATAAAACGCTATAAATGTAGGTTATGAAACATTAAATCCCTCATGTTCAAGAGAGAAAAGGAGTATCTTTAATGTTAATTCTGTTACAAATTCCATTTTAGCAGACCTCAGTGTAACAAAAAAAACAAAACAAGAAACAGACAAAGTAGACAAAAGGCAGTGATACCTGAGAGAAGCTCCTGCACCAGTATGCCTTTTGAAACGACTGAACTGTTTATGTTTAAAATGATCTCAGTCAGGATCCAGTCCGAGCTTTGCAAATGGTTTACCCCAAATAATCATCTTTCTCATTCATTCTTCATAATGTGAGTGAGTGTGTGTGTGTGTGTGTGTGTGTGTGTGTGTGTGTGTGTGTGTGTGTGTGTGTGTAACCCTGTGGCTGTCTGGAAACTGTTACTATGTGAAATCACGACAGATTTTCAAAAAGGCAGCAACATGAAAAGGAACTCAATGTCTCTTAGAGGAGCCCACACAGTAACACACAACTGAATAACTTCATCAGCATTTACAGAAAGGTGAACAACTTTCAAATGTTCAAATAAAAACAAAGCTTAACATCTGATCAAACACAATGACAATGACGTGATCTCACCTGCTCGCCTAAATTTCAGTTTCATTATGCAAAGTTTACCCCCATTATGTACACATCTAAAGGCACACGTCTAAACAAACATGGGTGTCATTCAACGGGGATGGTTTGTTTTCCGCTGGCTGAAGAAGTCTTGTAGATGCATTTCCAAGTCTTCTCACTCTAAATAAATTAATCAAATGCAAGTGTACTGTCTCTCTCATGAGACACTTAACATCTGTCTCCTGCTGCTAGGTCTGGATGTTTACTTTGTGCTTCGAGCGAAGGTTACTGACAAGACGGTGATTTTTTATTTAGGGAGCTCAGTAATTTGGGAAATGAGGGACGTCAGCGAAGCACAAATGTCCGTCTGTTGAACTTGTTCTGATGTACGAAACCACCAAAGAAAATACATTTACTGCATTTAAGTACACAGCACTGCACTCAGAGGAGCCAGCATGCAGACTCTGTGTGATTAAACAGTCTGAGACTCGTAACATGTGACTGTGATGACCCTCGTTTGTGGTTCATGTCTGGCTGATGACCTTTGTATTGTCCTATCTCCCTCCCTCACTTATCGTAAATGCTGCGAGCGAGCTCCTAAACGAAGAAAAAAATGCTGCAACATTTTTTTAAACAGTCATCCAAATGGATTCCAGTACAGGGAATTGAATGGGGGGGGGGAACCCTGGATATTGACGTTGAACTAACTTCTGTGACCTCTTCCAACAGGCTAAAGCAGCAACAGAAGTGTCCCAGAAGAGCAAGATGAGTGCCAACGGTGTTTAAAGAGGAGCTTGGAACCTTTTGGACTAAAGGGTAGATGGACTTGCACAGACCTGTGTCCTACAGAGGGGAACAGGGGGCGACAGGGATGTAGTGGTCTGTGACGGCCATTGATGGTTGGCATTTCAGTAGCTTTGAATTTTTTTTTTTTTTAAAGCTCCTCCATAAAAGCCATTCCTCTCTTTGGATGACAAGGACAAGCTCGATGATTCGACTCCACCAGGGGTCCTGCTCCTTCCTTGTCCCTTTCTTTGGTAACATCCAGGAAAGGTCTACTTCTTCTTGCAGCGGACATGACCCTTTGCTTTCACATTTGTGCACTCCGTTCTTTGTTACTCTCCATTAGAGCTGGACTAACCAGTGTAAGATTTCGTCTGACTGGCAGACCATTGATGATGTGATTACATCCTGGAAGCAACACCCAGATTACCCACTGCAGAGCCTGTTCAATTTACGTTGTCTCCCTACAGTCCAGACGGTCTCCTTCTCCTCCTCCTCCCTCCTCCTGTATATTTGTAAATACCCTGTATATTTTTGTTTCTGTCATCACAGCAGCAGCAGCGTTGTACATTTTGCTATGCAAAGGCATATTTTCTCTCAAGAACTGAAGAGTTTTTCTCTTATAGCAGTTTTATTTTGTTTTATTTGGATACATTTTCACTCCTGTTCAGAACTCAGTCCTTTTTTGCAGAAGGGACTTTGTCAACATTTAGTTCAGTTGCGGTCCCAACTTCATTTTTACTCAGTAATCTGAGACCAGATTAATGTGCTGAAGCAACCAACACAAGACAGCGCATCCAGAACCTTCTGTAGAATAGAAATGTCATTAAAAATAATTTTGTCAGCTGGTGGACCTGCAGATTAGCAGCGGTCCTGTTTCTGAACAGGGTGACACAGTGTAGTTTCCTCTGCTATAATCGGTAAACAAAGAGGTGCTTATTGTTAAGAGAGAGCTCACTCCTTAAGCCCAGAAGTGACTGTGGTAAAGTGCACTCTGCCTCCACGTATAAACCACTGAACGAACAACCTGTAAAACCATTAAAAACCAGAGTTAAATTGCTTATAGAGAATATGTATTGTGTTTTAACACTATGGCGCGACAATTTCTTGAAACTGAAAAGAGAAATGACTTGATGTGTTTAATATTGGAGAGAAACTAAAGCCACAATTGAGATTAATGTTATTTTCGGTCTTGTGGCCAGAGTGAAATGTATAGCATTATGACTGTTTCGCCTAACATGTAAATATATGACCCTTAAAGTTGCCGTTAATGTGACCACCTCAGCATAAACTGTATTAATACAGTTTCTGTTTGTGTTTGGTGACGCTATCGATTTGAAACCCTCCCGTCCCCCCGCCTACATTTGACGAGGTTGGAGTAACTGATTTCATTGCAGCTGGATGAAAGTTTTTGTCTTCAAGCTATCTTTCCTCATCGATATCGATCCACAGACGCCCAGTGGATTACATATAGGATATTTTTTAAGCAGAAAATTGCTAACATAGATTTATATTAATTGTGTTTTACATATGTGCCTAAAGTTGAAGGGTGATTGTGGTTATTTTCATCAGAGAACAGATTTTCTATATTATACCCTCAGCTCATGTTTTGAAACTTCACGTCTTTGTGTTTAAAGAGCCCAGCGTGCACACGTGTTCTCTTTTTAATTTGAATGTCTCCACTTTCCCTCCCCCACATTCGATTCGACTATCAATCCCAACCAAAAATTAATTCTTCCCTCACATCCACCAGAAGATGAAAAATCAATCACCTCTCCAAAATCTTTTGAGATGAAACGAGAATAAGAGTATTTGCTTTATCCTCTCTGGTCAGGGCTGTTGTTGTATTTATGAAAAAGACTAAGACATTTTGAGTTGGAGTGAACTGATATATGCTACACTGTGGTGGTCACTGACCTGTTGATGCTGAAATATTTTTTCCCCAGAGACGTACTGTTTTGATCCACTTGAAGGTGCTTGGCAATAAAACAGTTTTTAACTGGTACAGACTGCTTAAGGATTTGAGAATTGATTTAAATACTGGGAATGACTAGACGGACTTGCCATACATACAGCTCCTGCACCCACAATTAATTTTCATCCTGGCATCTTAAACAACCTTCCTAATCTCTGATCAGTCTGTGTTTCCTTTTCATTCATCAGCCCTATAGAGAGTGTGTGTGTGTTAACAATGCCATGCCTGTTTGGAAATGTTTGTTACCTATTGAAATCACAGATGGTTCACACATCAGAGCTACCATGATGTGTCCTCTGTCTTCAGGCTTATTTTCATTCAGTTTAAAATTGCACTGCTGTCCAGTTACTTCTGACCTTGCATTAAATTTATGCATCACTTCACCATGGCAAATGAGTGATGAAAAAAAGAATACACTATTAAATTCATGAAACCCTCTTCACCTTTTGTCGTATCTCTGTGTACATTATAGTGAAATCTCATTTATTTAATCTTTTATCTCTTGTCTTCTATTGGTGAAGGAAGAGGTAGCAGATGCACATTTAACTACATTACTAGAAGAAAACTGTAAATACTTCAAGAAGTCTGTTGCTTTGGCTTGATTTTGTTAGTCATGACTTTCTATACTCATTAAGACGAGTGGTAATAAACTCTTAGTAGTACTGTGTAATGTAGGCTATGCCTTTTCATGGCCAGCAGGTGGCACCATCCATCTGCATACAAGTCCAAGACAGTATTTTCAGGTATGGTTAACAACCTAAACACAATAATTTATACAGGCTTTAAACTTGAATCGGCTAAGAACAGCACTATCAAACGAGTAGTCACGATATATAAGATTGGCTCGTTGACTTTTTATTGGTAATTGTCCATGTAAGAAAGTATGTTTGAGTGAAATGGCCCCTTCAATTCTTACCATCACTCTAGTATATAGACTATAACTTGAGTCAGTGTCACTGTGTTTATATATTTAACACTCGGGACTAAATCAAATTAAAGACAAATAGCTCGTCCGTCATTCAATAAACATTCAGTTGGGCAAATAATTTATATCACTCATTTGTTTAGTATGTAACCTACTCAGACCTTAAAGACATGCGGTGCCATCTTCAATCAAATCAGTGACTTGATATCATAAAAATTAAGTTTGATGTACAAGTAAAGAACCCTTCACATGAAAAATACCAACCTATTTGCAATAAATGTAATATTACATATACATATCCTTGCACAAAAAGAGTGAACTTGAACAAAGTAACCCTGCATTTGAACTGTTGCTCTTCAATTTGTATTTGTATTTTTTTATTTTTTTTTACAAATGTAACTTGAGCTCATTTGGTTCGCAGGTGGTGGGTGGGGGGATTATTATAAATAGTGTACCCTGGTTTACCCTATAAGGGGGAAGCTGAGGGGCAGACAACAAACGTTTTGGAAATCACATGGTTCTGAAAGGATCGGCTGGGTGGTGGCCACGTTACAAGGTCAGCAGAAGCGTATGTATCAATGTATTTATCAATATTCACTTTTCAGAGGGGGAGCATACTGGGAATAACTTTGTCTCTTTCAAGTGACGTTGTTCAGCCTGTCTAAAAATAGCCTAGATGTTTTCTAGTGTCATGAAAACCCAGAAGGATTTTGGGAATATGCCTGTTATCATACAGTATATGTATATATACTTTTTTTTTTTGGATTAAGGCTTCATAATTTAATGTTAAATTGGATGTATTTTTATTTTTTTCAAACAGCAGCTAACAGAAACCAGTAAACACATAACAGGGGCAGTTTGCTTCCTGTGTTTTGGACATGTAGCCTCAAAAATATTTACAGACATAACAAAATAAGTTGTGGTTATGTTGGCCTATTATTAATTTGAACAATATGTGCTATGTTTTTATATTAAGCAATTAAAAGTAAAATTTGTTTCCAGACAATTCCGTAATGATAAAATATCGTTCTTGGATTCTCCCCATCACTTATTCTTTCTCTACAATTTTTCCTCTCTGCAGTTCAAAGATGAGACTGACGGTGATACCTGTGTTGTGTCTGTTCCTTCTTTTGGTTCAAATTAATTGTTCCCTGGCCAAGAAAATCGGAGGGTTTGGGAAAATTAAACTCTTTAAGAAGACCCCCAAAGCAACTCCAAAACACAATAACAAAAACAACCCTCAGAGGCCAGGGAGCTACCCCAACCAAGGAGGATACCCTCAGCAACCAGACAGACCAGGGGGGTACCCCAACCAAGGAGGATACCCTCAGCAACCAGACAGACCAGGGGGTACCCCAACCAAGGAGGATACCCTCAGCAACCAGACAGACCAGGGGGGTACCCCAACCAAGGAGGATACCCTCAGCAACCAGACAGACCAGGGGGGTACCCTAACCAAGGAGGATACCCTCAGCAACCAGGCAGACCAGGGGGGTACCCGAATCAAGGAGGCTACCCAAATCAAGGAGGATACCCTCAGCAACCAGGCAGACCAGGGGGGTACCCGAATCAAGGTGGGTATCCGAACCAAGGGGGCTACCCAAATCAAGGTGGATACCCTCAGCAACCAGGCAGACCAGGGGGGTACCCGAATCAAGGAGGCTACCCAAATCAAGGAGGATACCCCCAGCAGCCTGGCTATCCAGTTGGAAGTTACCCAGCACAGGGCTACCCGCACGGAGGAGGTTATGGCAGTTATGGGGTATGGGGGTCATGGCGTTTATGCAGGTTATCCTGGGGGATACATGAACTACAACCCGAACAACCGAATCCCAAGTCCTCACTATGGTGGCAGTTTTGGATATGGGGGCCATGGTGCTAGGGGTGGCTCTCCCTTTGCATACTCAGTTCAGCAGATGGGCATGTATCCCAGTGATAAGTCTCGAGGATTTGGGGGCCATGCAGTGATGGCAGCAGCTGGAGGTGCCATGGCAGGGATGGCCCTGGGTTATGGGTTAGGAAGATTCCCCCGACCTCACTTTCAGTTCCACAACCCTCAGGAGGAGTATTACTACAACCACTACATGTACAGGAGATATGGTACCAAGTCTACTGATACAAACGACTACAGCAGAGACTACAAGTACAGCAGACCCCCTGAAACGTATGATAGGTACATGGACTCCTGCATGAAGAGAACAGACTTACTCCCTGCAGGGAATCCAAAGACAAACAACAAACCACCTGCTACGAGTACAGCTACAACAACCACCACAACTACTTCTGTTACTACAATGACTGCTGCTGCTGCTGCTGCTACTACAAATGGCAGTAACACAACTCAGAGCAACAGCACTGCAGCAGCAAACTCCTCCACTTCTGCACCTTCAACTCCCCATCCTCTACTTACATCTGAGGCTGATTCTATTCCTCCAGCTGCACAGGTTCTCAAAGAAATGGCTACCATTGACGATGATGATGATGATACAGTCAGCATTGTTGAGATTGGCTACCCGGCACTGATCAATCAGCTGAAGGTCAGGAGATGTCTGGAGATGTACATGGTTTACTCTGACAAATATTTGGAGAAAAAGACTAAACCTAGCCCCACTGGTGGAGTGCAGGGGCTGGAGAGGGGCTGGTGTGGGCTTTTAGTTGGGGCCACCAGTACTTTACTCATTCTGCTAAATACCAACATGCTAATGCTGCTGCACTGAGGCATGCATTGGTAGTGAAAATGATGGTGAAATATTAATAAAGGCGTACAGCAAAGTAAATGTTAGAGTAGTGAATTGATTGAGCGGCCTAGCTTCATGAATAAAACATCAGTCAGCTGGTCCATATCTAAAGAATGAAAATATCCTGGCAACTGCTGATTGGATTTTCATGAGATTTGTAAGTGTTCCTGTTTCCAGAGGATGAAAACAATGACTAAAAGCCAACGTTTTTACTACCATGTCTTCAGGACAATTTGGTAAATTGTTTCCTTTCATGTTTTTTTGAATGTAAGACATTCAATGACCAGCAGGAGGTATCAACTGTACTCACAAATGTGTTGGTACTCTGATCTCTCTGTTCTGGTGCCTAAAAGCATCCACTACCTGTTACTCATTTATTCTACCAGACCTCAGTTACCTCGTAAAGCCCTTCACACTGCTACATAACATGGCGCTGCTTATTTGAGCAGCTTTCATGTTTAACAAGTGGTCTTTGTCTGCGTCATGGGACAAACAACATTTAAAATGAATGAGCTTTAAGCTTTGGTTGTTTGGTCAAACTGCAATTGAACTGTCTGTGTGGGTTATTTTTCCCTGTAGGATCACTGCTTATGTGGAACAATAATCCTAAAACCTTATTTTATGTATTTAAAACATGTAGATTTTAATAATTTAAATGATGAAGACAACGAATAGCTGAAAATGTTGATGACTGAACTGATTTTTGGGGACTATTATGTACCTGTTATCTCATTATATATATAAAACTCTGTACATCTTTCACATCTGCTACAATAACAGGTAGGACCTGTGTGTGTGTGTGTGTGTGTGTGTGTGTGTGTGTGTGTGTGTGTGTGTGTGTGTGTGTGTGTGTGTGTGTGTGTGTGTGTGTGTGTGCGTGCGTGCGCGCCCTCTACTGGGCATTATGTGGAGCCTGAGCAGGTGTCGTGTTTAAAGCAAGGCTCCAGGTGAGATGGGACAGGCGAATGGATGCAAACAGTTTTTCTACCGTGTCAGCTTGTCGGAGTTATCACATCGTAACCGGATTTCTTTGGTTCGTCATATTTTCCTTTAATGTTATTAAGACATGTTTAAAATGAATGGATTGAAATATCCAATCCACTTTGGGTTAATTTATTGGAGTGTCCGAAAATAGCTTCCACATTCATCCCTCTACGGTGGAATCTTCTGGACCTATATGTATTTAGATTTAAATGTACAGACATCATTTTGTTTGATAGAGTTCAGCTGTGACTAGAAAGCAAGGACAGCTTCGTGTGTCAAGGGTCATATCTGCAATGTTGTTTGGTAGACTTAGTGTCTGCTCCAAATTGTCCGAACCATCACAGACTAGTTTAGGTGGGTCAACATGACCCTGACGTCAATAATTTATTTTCTATATATGCAGAAACTTAGTGAGAGTTTGGCAGAATTGGCATGGCAAACAGACGTGTTTTGTTACTCCATCTCTCCTCTGGAGTATTCTTGTATGTTTAAACCTTCTTCAACTTAAGCCATATGAGTCTCCTGAATCTTTCTTTGTGTGAAGTCAAGTTCTGAGTAATTTCCTCAACACCCTCAAGTGACTTTTCTACATTGGGTTTGTTAAAATTGGTCACTGCAACGTGGGTTTATAAACTCTGTAAACTTCCTGTGAGGTTCTGGTCTTCTTCAAGGATTTTTGATACCCAAGGGAAGCTATCACATCAGGTTATTATAACAGGTCGGAAAAAAAAAAGCTCCTGTCTTGTTATTCAAACCTCTAGATAAAAACTGACAAATGTAAGCCTAAAGCTACAATTAAGGTAGAGATAATTCCTTTAGCCTTGGGAGCTGTGTTCATATGTTTGTTTGCAATCATAATGCCACATAATAACCATTAAACTGATTATTTAATTACCAAGCTTAAAGTAGGCCTACTGATTTTGCAGAATGACCTCTTTCAGAATATCTTTTTTTTTTTTTTTTTACAAAGAAGCAGTCAATGATAAAACTTACTGCTGGGTATGCTTTTTAAACTATAACATGACATGACAGTTTCAAATGCGTGGTAGGCTATATGTGAAATATTGGTCAGTAAAGTACAGTTAAAAGTACAGCATGCTCTTTAAATGTAAAGTGAATGCATATCTATGAATAACATTTCTTATATTTGCTGTCAGGTGTTTGGGTAACTGTAGTGGATTTCCATTCACTAAAAAGCTCTTTGTTGCTTGTTCGTATGAATCAAGTAGGCTGCATCTCACTGTGGAGGATGAGGCTGTGTATTTATTAAACCCCGCCCCCTATCATCAGTATCCATGCGACCCTCGCAACGTGTTACGTCATATCTAAACCCCCTCCCGTTGTCTCTTTCAGTCTTATAACAGAAACCATCACAATCTGTCAGCGTTTGCATGCAAACGGAGGAAAACACCGCGGGAAACTAAAACTGTGCAAAACGGGGGGGGGGAAAGCAAACACACAAGTCACAAACTAAGGTAAGCTTATTCAAATTAACTGCAAGGAAAATGTACCGCTGCATCGTTTGTAGATACTTCAAACCAGTGTCTCTGTGTTCATACAGTCAGACAACGCTCTCTATCTCTTGTGTGGTTATTTTGGTCTGACCAGCGCCATCTTTCAGGGTTCTTCAAGGGACAGTCCTCATTTGAGTGACAGAACAGTACGAGGACATTATTATTGTCTGTCTCAAGTATTTATTGATGAACTGGTGAAAATGCTTTGACTGCATTATCAGAAGCAGTCTTTGACGTCTGTAAAGCGCTGATATTGTATCAGCATCCCCGACCACTGTTACACCTCGAGGTCTCATGTCCTGTCACTGCCACACCTGTTTTCTATTTAGGGTTGATTGGCTTGCTTTCAGGTACAATGGGCATGCAATTACTTAAGCCAGCCTACATATTTTTTTTTTCTATGTGAGGTGAAATGATTTAAAAAGGTTATACACAAAACAGACTCTCACCTTTTATTTGTTGACTTGTGAAAATCTTGAGTAACATGCTGAAATGCATCTCTATTGATTCTGTTTTATTCTGCATTCATTATAGGCTCTATGTTGTGTGTTTAATGTTTTTATTACAGCTATTCACTGTTCCTAAATTAAGTGAAAGTCTATATTCTTATTTTGGGGATACATTTGAATATGTTTGGGGTATTTTGATTATTATTGTTTACATTCATGTGAGTTATTTCCATTCGTTTATTTTGCTACTTGGGGCATAAGGTGGAAGTGTACATGGGTGTGTCTATATAGCTAATGGGTTTTCTTTACCAGGAAGCCAGGATGCAATGGCAGGATGACAGGGCAAGAGAGACAGCAGTGTTTTTTGTTGTTTGTTGCCTGCTTGATATCTCTGGATAAAATAAACCACCCTAAAACCTTCAATCATCATCTGGACAATGGACTTATTAATATATTCTGCGTAAGATTCGCCCTCAGTGGCTTTATTATGAGTTTGTGTTAAGTTTATAATTTGTTTGGAATTTTTGTTATTTATAGACTATAGATATCGCCACTGCAGTTTTTATGGGCCACCTTGTTTAAATGTATTGCTTTGTGTTTGTATTCGCACACGCAAGTCAAAGACACATTTCTATTCTGTCTGAAAATGTAGTGGGACTACAATTGGATGCAAAAAAACATGATAGTTTGTCTTTCAGTTAAAATTGAAACTTTTAAAGTGTTTGTTGTAATGTTTTGTCCACAAGAGTACATCACAACTACCTCAAAAACATAAGATAAGATAATTTAGTTTTATTTGTTTGGTATTATTAAATGTTTTATTATGTGTGTGCATAATCTTTCACTTATTTATTTCCCCTTTTTTTTTTGCTTATTTTTTAAAGTGTCGAGTGTTTAAGTTTGATAAATGCACGTTATGCAGATGTTGTAAAATCAATGAGTAGGCCTAATCATGTTTGATGATCGCGATCTCAATATCACTCAAAATAATCTCTTCTCTTTATTATAAATTAATCTGATAATTATAAAATATTGGGCGGAGCTGATAAATGCAGTGTACTTTCATTGTAACAGACTAGTACCTTCTATTTAAACTAAAGTTTAGGGCTTGGCAACAGTTTGAGCTACAGATGATTGAAAAGAGTCTGGTTATCTTCAGTAACAATGAGATAAGATATCAACACATTGTGTTTAACGAAAAATTGTGTTAGGTTCATGTTCCTCTCTATCAAAGTTGATGAGTTAAAACCAAAGTCATTTGCTGTTAGTGAAAGTTGAACAACTTTCTTTAGCCTTTTAAGGGTCATAGGGTAAAACATAATAAGTATTATTTCGAGGGTAATTGAAAAATGGCATCGTGGTATATCATAAAACAATTCTTTGAACAATGATGAAGCGCTTTATGATTTCACAAATTCTGCCACGAAGTTGAAATTCAGGTGTCTGATTGTATTACAGGCCCGTAATTTAGTTACATATAAAAACAACTAAATATTTTAGGATATTGTGAGTGAACTGGTCTCAGTGATTCATTGTTACACATGAGAAACAAAAGAGGCTTTGTATGTAATATTATTTTTCTCAACTTTTTTTCTCCCTTTTCTTCCCTCCCACAGGGAAAAGATGAAGCTGACTTCGGTCTCTGTTTTCTGCCTGTCACTTCTTTTGTTTGGTACCCATTTTTCCCTGGCAAAGAGGGGAACAGGTGGTGGCTTTGGGAAAGGCTTTGGTTCCAGGAAGACCTGGTCCAACAAAGGCAACACCCAAAGTAAATCCAACACAGGCCAGAGAAATAATCAAGGTTCCAACTCTCAGGGTGGATACCCTAAACAGCCAGGACAACCAAACCGTGGAGATTACCCTCGTCAGCCTGGAGGAGGATACCATCAGTATCCAGTACGGGGCTCACCATATGGGGGGGGTATCGGCGGTTATGGCAGTCCAGGCAGTTATGGAGGATATCCAGGTGGATATATTAACCAAAACCCAAATAACAGAATCCTCAGCCCGCGCTTTGGTGGCAGCTTGGGTTACTTGGGCAACGGGGCAAGGGGTGGCTCTCGATTTTCCCAGTCAGTTCAGCAGATGGGCATGCATCCCAATGATAAGTCCAGAGGGTTTGGGCGCACTGCGGTAATGGCAGCAGCTGGAGGTGCAATGGCAGGAATGGCCCTGGGCTATGGTTTAGGAAGATTCCCCCGACCTCACTTCCACTTTCACAGTCCCCAGGAAGAGTATTACTACAACCACTACATGTACAGGAAATGTGGGACAAGGTCTTCTCCTACTAATGACTTTGCCAGAGAACAGAAGTACAGCCAACCCCCTGAAACGTATCATAGCTACATGGACTCCTGCATGAAGAAAACAGACCCACTCCCTGCAGAGAATCCAAAGACAAACAACAAACCAGCCGCTACAACTTCAGACACCGGCAATGTCAACAACACAACAGAAGCAAACACCACTGCAATAGAAAACTCCTCAACCTTTGCATCTTCATCTCAAAGCCTTATAAATCAGCCTGAAGCTAATCCTGAAGATGATGATGATGATGATGATGATACAGTCAGCATCGTGGAGATCGGATACCCAGCGCTGATTGAGCAGATAAAGGCCAGGAGATGCTTGGAGCTGTACCTGAATTACTCTAATGAGTACTTCATTAGACAGTCTGGGGGGGTGCAGGGACTAGAGATGGGCTGGCGAGGGCTTTTAGCTGTGTTTACAAGTACTTTACTGATGCTACATAGTAGCAACATGCTAATACTGCTGCACTGAGGCCTTCATTAGCAGTGAATGTGATGAAGAATCTGATAAAAAAAAAAAATTGAGTTAGTCAATTATGATAAATTAGAGAGGAGCCTCTCACCTTTATAGAATTTGTGTTATTTATTTTTGCCAATTAACTCTGAAGTCAATCTAAGGTTGGGAAGCTTAAATGCTGTACTGCTGTGTTTCTGTTGGTAAGTTGCATGAATTAAGGATGTGTGACAGTCTTTAGAATTTGTGAAAACACAATGGAAAAAGTCCGGAGAGAAATCATGCCACAATTGAGTGTAACATACCGTATTCGATAACCCATTAGCTACCAAACAACAGCTAACGTTAGCATTAGACAAATTGCAAGTTAACATTTGGTTGGCTTGAAATGAAATTCCTTCCTATCTCCCTCGGAATTTACTCAAAACTATTTTCTTGTTGTGTCACAAAGAATGACCAAATTGTAATGTTTGCTTTCAGTAACTTCCTGGCTAATGGTTATATTAGCCAGTTAGTGGAAGATTGCCAACATTACATTAGTTTTATTAAATGTGTTTTTTTTTACTTGAAATATTGTATAATATATAATATATATTTCAGTAGCAGATCAACCTAGAAGCAGTACAATTATAATAATCTGCCAGATGTCTTACATTTATATAGGACTGAATTATAACAGCATGTGAGTCTCTCAGCCTGAGCTTCCATCAGAGGAAAATGGACTTCGTGTGTAAATACTCAGTTGTGTGAATTTCTACTTTATAATGTTTTTTTATTTTTGAGGCATTTCATCCTCATGTGGTCTTGGGTTTGGACTATTTATAAAAGGAAAGGAAGGGGGAGATCAGACTGATCCACAGTGTTGCAATTTATAACACTTCCTCTTTCATCCTCTGAAAGATGGAGTGTCCATTAACATTATGCTATAAGGTTGTAATTGAATAAGGAACCCGACCTTTTAGAGACCTTTTTAGATTCAATTGAAAATCACATCTGGCCACATTGATGCTGCGTGTTTGTATAAGAGATGAATGTTTATTCAGGGAAATGGCAAGGTTCTATTTCTTTTTTGTCCCCTTCGCGTTTGTGCCGTCTCTTTTGTCTTTGTATCAGAGCTTGTACAGACTCTCTCATTATGCTGAACTGTGTTAACTGCTTTGCAATAATGGACTCTTGCTTAACGTTTAAAATGATCTTATCAACTCCAGTTAATGTTAAAAGGCTTTTTAAGGACCTATTAAAGAGTTAGAAAACAGCTAATAGTGATCCAAGACTAACAATGAACACTTGTCCAATAATCCTATTGATCTACTTTAAAACATATCTTTAGACTGACTTTATACTCCAGGCATGAGTGTTTGTGTCGTTAGGCTTTTGTCACATAAGGTAAGTTGAACTATAGAAACTCAGAACTAAGTCTTAATATCTTAAGAAACCTAATATCTTCTGATACTTAATCTATTTGCATAAACTGACCATAATAAGCATGCTTCAGTCCTTACATCATTCACTTGAATTAACACAAAGCAAAGTGCATCTTTTCTGAATATTCATGTCATTCTCACTTCTCCTTGTGTACTGCCATTCTTTGTACAGTGTAATATATATTTTCTTGTATCTTTCATATGTGACTCCATCCTGTCTTCTGTCAGATGTGTTGCCTCCCTCTCCTTTGTCTAGCTTGAGGTTGCAGAAGTGCTCTTAATACATGAAACCCCACGATGTACTAATCTTGAGCTGAATTAATCTCTCAAACTTTCTGAATGTTTTCCTGCATCACTAGAGTTGTACTTAAGTTTCTCTAATCACAGAAGCTGAAGGTGCTCTCTGGAGTTTAGAAAATAATTAATGCAAGAGATTTTTTTGATAAAACACATATTACATTAATAATTGTTTTGACCTTTTGTTTTAAGACCCAGTTTTTCTGTAGCTGTAATAGCTAGCTCTTCGTTGGTTCGAATTGTGCCTGTGCTCAACAATAGCACATTTTCTTTTTGAATTATCTACCTAAAGGTTGGTTATGGTTGCATCAAAAAAACTAAGAGTCCCATAATTACAACATGCCCTTTTTATTTGTCGATTGCAGAACAATCTCAACCACAAGTCCCCTGAAGTGGTCTGACCCAAAGTGTGAACCCTCCACAGTGTACCTTTGATGCTATTGTATGTAGCACAACATCTTGTTTCTGTATTTGAATGTATTTGAATATGTATCACTTTAAAACATGTGAATGCCTTTTATGATGGCAATTCATATTTCATATTTGTTGTTAACTTGAGATGCCACTGAGGGTCAAACTTGCACTTTTTGTTTGTCTTGTAAAATAAATGTACAGAGTGAAACTTTCTATTTGGTGGTACTTGCTTATTACTTTTAGAATCAGTTGGAGTTAAGGAAACTGTAGGACTAAAGGTAAGCATTAAATAAAAGGATTCAGGACAACAATATGAATGGCCTTTAGAGCTATAATGTCCATATAACATAAATCTTTACGTATGCTTTTCTTTTTAAAAATGTTTTCTTGATATGTATGATCAATGCGTAGTCTTCAATGCAGTTATCGTTTATAAATTGAATTGAAGACAAGATGAATCACAATGGGGAATTGGTATGTGGTTATTTATGGCTTTTTCAGTTCTAACCAACCACACCTTACCTGTTCTATAACCTATTTTGACTTTTATAACGCAGGTGAACTAAAGGTTTGAGTAAACTGGAAGGTGACAATCAGATGGAGTAAAAGAAAAATCAAGTCTGTTAGCTCTTCTTTAATGATTAACTAGAAACAAGTCTGTGTCAATTCTCTGTTTCAGGTCTGAGTAATGAAGCATGATAATTGAACTCTGCTGCGTGCTACAGAAACAAAAAGCTAGAGATGCTGAAATATTATGTACTAATCCAAGTTAACTTCCCACTGAAGACACCAAAAATATGGGAGCTCTTTTCCATGTCCAGATAAAACCTGCTGAAACATGAATCTGAGTTTGTGAGTCTGCTGTAAACCTGAGATCTGGTATGATCTGATCAGCTGTGATCTCATGAGGCTAACACTGTGAGTCTGTAGGCTGTTCAATGTCAGCTGACAGTCTGAATCATGCAGCACCCAGACATCCAGTTAATGCAATTTGGTGATTACATTGCATTAACAGACTTAGCACACACGAACTGCACATCCTGTGCACCTTAAAACCAGAAGGTTCTGTGTGAGTAAAGAATCATTAGATGTTTTTGATTACCATGAGGTCCACCTCTACATACTACAACAATAAAATCCTACTTTAACATTAATGCATCAATAAAAATCTTCAAGAGACATTATTCTACTGTTCTACTGTAAATTATAGGTAACATGGAGGACTGTTGGTTTGATAGGGTAATTTCACATTATGGAATTTGTAACGGAGCTGAATACTTCCTAGACCACAGCACTGATCAAACAGAAAGAAAAAAAAACTATCTTGTGTTGGAAGGACTTCAATGATGTTTTGTTCAGAGATTCATGTTTTCTTCAGGATAAACTGTAATACTTTTGGTCTCCTTACTTTATTTTTCTTCCATCAAACTTTTATTTTTTTATGCTTGTTCAAGGGAAGTTTCTGAAATCAGATTTGAGCACTTGATATAATTTTGGTTTTGCTCTGGATCTGGGTTAAATATGTTGTGGCTATTAAGATTCAAGTCTTTCAAGGGGTTGCCCCCTACCTCCCAGACTGATCTGACTTTTAGAATTTATTCTTTTTGGTTTTGCTCTGGATCTGGGTTAAATATGTTGTGGCTATTAAGATTCAAGTCTTTCAAGGGGTTGCCCCCTACCTCCCAGACTGATCTGACTTTTAGAATTTATTCTTTAAAGTGTCCTCTCCTCTGAACCATTTTTATGTGGAGTACCCCAATGCACCATAGTAGACTGTATGTGTTCACTATGTGGTCTATTTTCAGAAAACATATCTCCTACCATTGAGGTTACTTGTCTTTTAATGTCTTGAAGTCTCATGCAGGAAATGTGCAGGTGTTAGATTTGATTCAGGGGGGACATTTGTTAGACAAATTAATAAGCTTCTTCTATGTTATCATAGATAATTGTTTGTTTTCATTTATTTGTCCTGGGACAGATGATTGGTCCAACAGTTAAAAGTCAGACCAATCATCTGACAATGTACCCTCCCAAAAACCCATAAAGCGACCACAAACAAAAGTGACATTGTAAACTTCTATTTCCTCTATTTTAAGGAAAAAAAGGGACAACAAATTAAGACGGATCCTGGTGGCCAAACTTAGGATCTCCATATCCGGATAATTGTGATCCGGATGAGAGCCTTTGAGTGATTGATCCAAGCATGATGGCACTATCGTTGTAAGCATCTAGTGTCTGTACTTATCAGGTTGTGATTGCATGCATCTTACCAAACAAAAGACATCACTAAATGTCTGGTTTTACAAGTTCTCATTATCAAATGAAGTTTGCTCTGTCTTGTTTATTTGTTTACTTGTTAGGATCCCCATTAGCTGCACCCAAGAGCTCAGCTATCCTTCCTGGGGTCTTCATAGAGTTATTGTAGCTGTAAAATTAGTCCAAGGCACTTTATAAGATGTCATGTTGATTGGAGTTTTGCACACAAAAGATCATTCTCAACATTGGAAACAGCAGTTTACAACAATGTGTTTAGACAACTGCCATCAAGTCAAAAGTCAACTTTCCGACTCCAGACTTGTACATCTTTTCTTAAACTTTATATATGTTAAGCATCCAAACAAGTCTAACAAGTGGATCACTATTAGTCTTGCAGATTATATTTTCTTACTGTAATGTAAACAATGAATTTCAATACAAATGCTTGTACTTAGTGTTTTTATTCATGTATGATGAACACATTTCAACTTGTACATAAAAGTCTACAAAATGGCATCAAATGTGTACTTTATAGGTACATAAACAAATACAAGCAATGCACTAAAAATGCATGAAAAAAATGTCTAAAACATCAATGATATTTTATGTAGTGCATTTTAATGCCTGCCACCCCTGACACAGATAATGTGACAGAAGTTATGTTTAACAGCATGCAGCAGGAACAGCCTTCTTTTATTTCCACTCCAAAGATTCATCGTAAAGTTCATATTAGGCATTTAAAATAAAAGATGAAAGGTCTTACACACATGGTTGCCAAATCGACATAAACTAAGAAGTTCCTCCCAGGAGCTTTAATAATGACACAAACTGAGAAAATGGCATTATCATATGTAGCTGCTCTTAAATTCTAGGACCTGATTTTACTTCTTGAGGTAGACTTAATGTGGTTACAAATCAAATTTATTTGTAGTCTTTATTTCTATTTCTATGTTCACAAAGTTGATTATGAAGAAAATACAAAATACAGTAAATCAAAATTGCTCCTTTTATAAAAAGTACAAAAGCTCGGGCCACATTAAAAGGAGGAATAGTAATTTAAACTGCAGTTATTCATCCAATTTCATTATCTTAAGAACAGAAGATCAGTTTTCTTTGTGCTCCAGTACAGCTTTGGTCACACTGACGTGGAAAAGGTCAAATTCCTCTTCCTGTTTTTATTGAGGGTCAGTGGGTGTGGAGAGCATAAATTGTCCACATTTTTTCTTTATTCCAGGTCATATTTTTGGCTATATTTTACTTTAAACCATAGTTTTGGCCTGTTTGGCCAGGTTTTGGGTTTTGTTTCAGTCAGGGATTTAGCTTGTGTCTTTCTCTCCAGCCCTACATGAGCGCCACCCAGTGTCCCAATAGCAGGGACATCAGGGAGCCAATCACCACAATGATGCTGTTGTAGATGGGGCCACTGGATGCCCCGGCATAGTACTCCATATCTCCAGAGCCCTCCTGCTCATATCCGGGCCTGGGTCCATAGCCATAACCCGCTCCATGTCGAGGATAGCCATAACCTCCATATCCTCCACCGTATCCCCCATACCCTCCACCGTATCCCCCGTACCCTCCACCATATCCAGGGCGGCTCAGTGCAGACCCCAGCATTGCTCCTCCTATGGCCCCTGCTGCAGCTGCCCCGGCTACTTTCCCTGCACTGGGACCGCTGCTTTGGACAGGTCTGTAGCCTGCCGCCCACCTCCGCCCCAGCCCCTCCCACCTCCTCCTCCTCCCCTACCAAAGCCACCTCCTCGTCGGGCCTCAGAGTTGGGGACCAATGTGGCGAGGAGCAGCAGGCAGAGGGCCACTGTGAAGGGGAGCTTCTGCAGGCGGGACATGATCTTTTTATCCTGTCAAAAAAAAAAAAAGAGGGGAATATTAGGAGTTTGATTCTGGAGAGTTTTTAAACAGAAAATTACAACTTCTCTTTAGCTGTGATTTGTAAGTTGTTCATATTTTGATTTTAAATATTTTGAATCTGTTAACTAGACTGGAAAATGACTAAACTTCATTAAGGAGGAGTGTAGTTTGTAGTATTTATAGACTGTAAATATATTAAGGTTGTTTTGCATCCTGATGGCACAAAGTGCTCATAACAGACTGATGAGATGTTCTTGTTGCAGCTTTAGTCCTGCAGCATGTTATTTTTACACTGCTGAGGAGTTAAGAGCTGGACGGATCATAGGTCTTTATCCGGCTTTGAGAAACATGTTTAACACAAGCCCATCACTATTTAACTCTGCGGCTGACCTGAGATCAGACAGATTTAATAACCTCTAAGGCCCCTGCATCTGTGAGAACGAGCACCAGATCGAGACCTGCTGCGTAAATCACTCTGGCAACAACCAGGGAATATTTGTTGGTATCATATAAAGACTTTTACTTTTCACCCTGGAGAGAAACAATTTTTTTTTCACAAAGATAACTATAGTGCCATGTTTGATATCATACATTTACATAAATAAATACACACAGTTCAAACTTTACAGCTGTTGTTTCTGAGTATAAAATGTTTGTCACTTTTATTATAGAAGAAATAATTTAATTGTAGGGCTTGAAATGCAAACATCTAAATGTAAATATACTTCAAATATTAAAATACTAACCATTATAAAAATAGATTGGAAGAATAATATACCACAATAGACTTTTTTCTTCCATAGTGCCAACAATAGTTGATTACTAAAAGTGACAAAATGTCTGATTATCTACTCTACCAGTCAAACGTTTGGACACACAACAGTAACAGTAGGATCAATAATACAGTTGAATTGCCCCCCGGGGACAAATAAAGATTTTTTTAATTGTACATTATTATTATAAAGCTACTGTACGCTGTATCCAGGGCACACCTACTAATAGAAGGCTTTTTCTTTATTTTTACCATTTTCCACATTTTAGAATAATAGTATATAAAAAAAATAAAAAAATAAAAATAAAAACAAAAATGAAACATTTAATTTAATTTTTGTTTTGGAAAAATATGTAGGCATCAACTTCACTATTTATACAATAGACATCAATATATACAGTATATATAACTATGAATATAGTTTTTAACTTTACGTCACTGCACTTTGTACATAGTTTATTCAACTCTAACTTACTTTGTACGTATGGTTTATTTTATTGCTTATTTTTTCGATTTTATTTTTACATCTTAAATCGTTTCCTGCTGTATTGTGTTTAAGAGCAACAGTAACAACCGAATTCTCCCCTGGGATTAATAAAATATTTCTGATTCTGAAACAGTTAAGCCTTTAGATGAACATGTCTTTAAGATAATAACGTGCATTTCAATCAGGTGTGTCCAAACATTTGACTGGTACTGTATATTAACATTTAAGTACATTGCCATGGTAGCTTCCTTATTCTTTTATTTCCTAAAATTTCCTTCCTTTTTTCAAAACTTTTGTTTTTTAATAGTTGAAAAGAAGCTACAGATTCATAAAAACATGTGGCATGTTTTTAGGCACCTGAATCCCTGATGAATTACAGGTTCTATATTAACTATCCCTCTGAGTGCCTCAAACCTCTTCAATAGCTTTTGCTATATTCAGACAAAATATATTTTATTATGAAATGTGACCAAATATTGAAAATGAGGGTTAGAGTGCTGAGCAGTATCAATAAGTGAAAAATGGATTCACCCTACAAATCCCCCACAAAGTAATTCATCATAACGGTATAATAAAAGTATATTTTGATTAAAATAAAATGTTACCTATATATAGCTTTAATTATACCTGTACTTGTTATGGAGTAACATAAGGTCGGGGTCTGACTTTCTCCATTTGTGTAAAAATTCAGAATACTTTTCCACCAATGACGACCCCTAATGTAAGCAGCATGACATCATTTTCTGTGCTGTCAACAAATACTCCAGTCTAATCTGTCTCCTCACAGATGAGTACGTCTATAATTACACTGGGTCAGTGGGAATAATCCAGCCACTCTCAGATTACAGCTCCAAACTTTCAAACAAGATAAAAGCACTTCATTATTAGATTTCATCAATATGGAGCACTCTTGGTCTGTTCGTCAGTGTTACATTACTAACTGTGGTTTCACTCATTTCTGCAGCTGAGGACATTTTCAATAGCATCACATCCTTAACAAGAGAAATTCGTTCACAAAAAACCCCTCAAAAATTTAAAAATCTTAATGAATGAAAGGAAAATCTAAACACCAGCTGATATCTAAAGACAGCGGATGTTGATTTAATCTATTCACATTTGATGCTCTTGTTGAGAATTAACATTTACAAAATAAAGGGATTGTTTTCTATTTACAGAGGACAAGTCATTGTATGAATTATATAGACCTATGACCTGATAATCATTGAAACACCTTTACAAAATATTATAGTTACATTTGTCTTGAGCTGGAAAATAAGAAATGTACTATTTTTTTTCATTTTATTATGACTACATAGTAACTACGGTATGTCCAGGTGATTCAGTAATAAAATAAATAATAACCTGGATAGATATTTATAGTTTAATGCAACAAACATGAAATAACATATTCATTGTAAAGAAAAACATCCTGTAGAAATCACAAGACTCACCTGTTAAATGTTGCGGTTCAGATGATGATGCGTCCACTGACAGTAAAGACGTGTGTGTGTGCGCTCACAGCTTAGACTCCTCAGAAAGTAAGAGGTGTGTTTCAGGGCCAACCTGTTGTCCTACAGACAATCTCTGTCAGGTAGAGTGGATCACTGCGTCTCACACCTGCTCATTGGCTGAGTGAATGGTAAGCTGCTGTCCTCGCCACATCACACATAAATACCTGCCAGTGTGTGGTTCTTATTTAGCCTCCATCGTCCAGAACACTTAACGAGCTCTCCAGAAGCTTCCTCAACATGCTCTGGGAAATTATACAACCAGATTTAAACATCATTACATAAAAAGGAGCCACAGGAGGCCTTTAACCCAGTGACCTGAACAAACACAAGGAGATTACACAGATATTTATATCCATCTTTTCTGAACATAACTTTCTTTTATTAAATAACAATCATTGATGGAAAAAAAAAACTGTACATTTTCCAGATAGTGGCATGAGTTTCTCACATCTTGAAGGCTAAAGTTCCTTCATCATTTTGTAAAAGACACGATATAAAAAGCAGGCAAGTCTTTAGAGTCACTAAAATTACCAACATGCACAATCTCTGAATCGCACACACTTTTGAGGACATTTTCAACAATGATGTAAGAAATAATAAACAGACGGGATTAAAGGATGCCAGGTTATGAGAATAACTTTGTGATTAAAGTGATTAAATTTACCAGCCAGTCAATAGTCTATCGTTAGTTTGAGTCTGAAATCGCGTATCTGGATAATAACAACCCACCGTACAGGCGGAGAGGAAATTGTTGTGCTTTAAATTCTCATTCACTCACTTCAAACATTCTTCCATCAAAGGTCTGCAGCGTTATTCACAGTCTGATAAGAGTTGACATTTAAGAGAATGAGCTTCTTACATTTTGCTCAGAGTTTGACGAGAACATTGGTTGGGACAGCAGGTAGCTTCAGGGCGCACTCACACAAGGCAATCTGTACCTCAGCACGCTTCACCCCTAAAGTCCAGTTGGTTTGACTAGTGTGAGTGTGAGTGCTCTGATCCGTGCTCAACACTTCCTAGTGTGAGTGCGCCCTCTGTGTCATACGTCCACTTCCACTTCTTAAACAGATGTCATGATACGGGCAAAAAAACTAAAAGCCTGACTCATAAACCCCTGTATACCTGGAACTCATCATACCTATACTCATTTTGAACATATCAAAACAAAAGGGATCAAACCGGTTAGATAATAAGTAGTAGAGGTTCTGTTGAGTTACCTTCAGACAGAGCCAGGTAAGTTGTGTCCCCTTGCATTGTTTCCACTTTTTGTGCTATGCTAAGCTAACCAGCTGCTGGTGGTATTACAAAACAAAAACAAACAACCAACTCATGGCAGGAAATATCAAAAGCCTTTTCACAAAATATCCAACCATTTCTTAAAATTCATACTTAATGACTGCAGAAAAACCTTTTATGGTAACAACTTCAACGGGTTTTCTGTTCACACAATCTTCATTAATCTCTGCTGAGAGCTTCTAAGCCATGATACATTAAGAGAGAGTCAATTCAATTTCTTACATTGAAGTATAATCAAATGCTTCAACAGAACATGAAGGCACACAGTTTCATGTGGGACCTGCATTGTTTCCGCTGCTCAGACCTCGACTGTTTCACATTAAGGTTGGTTGTGGATTCACTCGAGCTCCAGAATTTTCTTTTCTTTTTTGTAAAACACAGAATTTCACCGTGTGTCTTTGTGCTTTGAGAAACCGTTAAAACAGGCACTTTACAATGACCCGCATATTGTTTGAATTTGTGCTTTAACTTTATGAGCTTGCAAACTTTAGGGTAGAGACCAAACAGGACTGCTTATTTTAAACTAATTTAGTAAAGTACTGCACTGTAAAAATGACTCAGGAGGAGAGGAATGTTTTTCTGCGTGAACTGTGAGTGACACATGAAGATTAAAAAAGTAAGTCATTTGGTCTGAAGACTTTTTAAAAAACTGTATGAGCTGTCATAACTCGGGACTATTGCTGAGAGGGGCACGTGAAACATGCACACGTTTTAGCACGTTAAAGTTTAGTACGTTTTGTTGAATGATTGGAAGGTTTAAAAAACAGAAACCCATGCAGACTCATGAGCTCAGCGGAGCAGGATACATGTTGGAACACATACATTGAGTTCTTGTCAGCTGGTTCGTAGTCAGTCCGGGTGCAGGATGTGGTGATGTGGGATAGATTTTTCACAGTTTGATGTGAAGATCACATACATGTCGCCCCCTCTGGAAGACAACTGAGCTGCTTCTCAATTATACACCGAAGGTAGGTATACCTAATACAAGCAGAGACAAGTTCAAGTTAAAGAAAGAATAAACATCTTCAGGTAATTCACATTTCTCTTTCCATTTTTAATTAGTCTCTTCTTGATAATCAATTATTAGTTTGGTTTGGTAACATTTAAGAAGACGATGAAAACAGTCCATCAGTGTTTCTCAAAGCCAGAGATTTTTTTTTTTTACATGACTTAATTTGTTCACAACCCAAAAATGTTCTGGAGCGGAATAAAGAAAGAAACAAAAACAACACATTTAGGAAGCTAGAATCAGAGAAGTAGGGGGGAAATATCCAAAGCAATCAATCCAAATAGCTGGACAAATAATCCCTGAAACCTAACAGAGTCATGTGTGAAGGTTGAGGACAGCACATAAACATGAAAGTGTTGATGTAGATCATACACTAAACAGTGTTGTTGTTGTTGTTGTTTTACCTTCTCCTGAGTTTCTGCACCTCTCTGTCCTCCTCCTCCTTCAGTTTGGTGATGAAACTTTTTAGGACAGGCATTTCAAACTTGATATACTGTGCCACCTGGTGGAGAGGAGTGGAAATAGTGGGGTTAATTAAAAGGATGCAGCATGTACCACACATGGTGGTTTGAAACACAGCCACGCCTCTGAATCTCTGAAAACAACTCCCTCAAATTCAAAGCAATAATGAATTCTGTGATTTACATCGTAGGTGACTTCTTCTCCAAGGTCTTCTTCTGTGAGGAAAACCTTGCACACCTGCTCACATGGACCCTGCATCACCCTCAGCACCAGAGGATAGTCACTCCTCTTCAGTTTGACACGCTCTGAAACAGTACAACACAGAGTAAGGGATCAAGAGAACAAAACATTTATTTACAGTGCATAATAGAACCCATGACTTGACAAACCAGAACTAAATAATAATTAACACAAACCTCCACTGGCATGGACCAGGTATATAGCAAAATCATCTGGGCTGTTTTCAATTTTAAACTTGTTGAGAAGAACTCGGAGAACCTGAGGCGTGGTCATGCAGCTGTTTATCCGCACATTCGTCACTGATCCAAAAGCAGGAGTGAACACTGCTGTCTGAGGGGGGGAAAAAAACATGACACATTCATTTACTTTCTTACATTACTCCACCAATATATGTGTACTCAGGTAAACCTTTGAATGCTCATCATGCATCTGTTTTTTCTTGCTTTAAGAAATAAAGTTGAAAAATGCATCATCATCATTAAAATTGACTATACATTACCCATAATTCACAGGTTAAGTTTAAAACATGGGGTCTGTGGGGACTTTCGTTGGGAGCATTGGTTGAGTCATTGGTTCTACTCTGTTATTGCGGATCAGGTTTAAAAATGGGGCTGGTAGCTGTAGGGGTGCCCGGTCACTTTCTGAGCACTGCTGAGGTGACACTGAGTAGGTCACCGAACTCCCAACTACTCGGGATCTCTTTCATGTCCCTCTGACATTCTCCTGACTCATGCTCATACTAGGATCCTGTTTGTGACCAAGTTTCAACAACAGAGTGAATAAGTGAATTTCCCCTCCCCTCTGGGATTAATAAAGTAAAGGTTCTTCTTCTTCATCTTCTGTGTACATTGTTGCATTTTTGGAAACATATTGTTTTACCTTATGGTTGTAGAAGTGTCCGTTGATGGAGAAGCGATGGCGTCTAATTTTCCTCTGGTCACTCGGTGACCGTCGCTGCCCACGTCTTAGCACCCCGGCATCACTCTTCGTCCTGAGGAGCTGAGCAGAGCTCTCACTGTCGTCTGTCCAATCAAGAATCATGACATCAGATCATTGTTATTAGTAATGTTACATGTGAGAAAATATGAAATGTTTATCTATCTATCTATCTATAAGAAATGTCTTCTAACTGCTGACTGAGATTCACTTATGCTATGTTTACTTATTTTTAAACACTAAATTAAACACACCAGGCAGCATCACCTCTGGAGAACAGGACACAAATGTAGAATTGTTTTTTCTTACGTTCGGGAAGTTGGAAGCAAAAATGAGAAACAGAACTGGTGCTAGGTGATAATATGATAATCAAAAGCTGCTAAGAGCTAACTAGAGATTTAGTCATCAGCTTTTTTAATACAGAAGTGATTTATTTTTACTGAACCAATGCAACCTTTAGTTTTTTACCTGACAACACAAATCAAAAAACAAGTGAAACAGGATTCTGAGTTTATTCAGTTATTTAGGGTTTGATTTTTTATGTTGATAACAGGATGTTTATAATGAGCTATATATATATAAGGAGCTTTACATTGTACCTTTTATATATAAAAAATGATTTTATCTTCATTTATTTTGCTGAATTGAGATAAAAAAGAGATTGAAATACAGACTCATTTGCTATAATATAAAAAATGATGTTCAAAAATCCACATAATTGTTATAAAGTCAGATCTTCAACCACAATCATCTCTTGATCTCTTGATTGAAAAACATGACACAACTCAATCTCCTAATGCTTTAAGATACTGTTAAACCCTCCATAGATTAAAAACTTGTCCTGTTGACCGTTTTAAAGAGTCTTACATGGGCTAAAAAACACATTTGAGGAAAATTCCTGAATCTATCAGAGGTACATTTTAAAGCAGCCACCTTTACTCGATAACTAAAGCCACTAACCGTCTGTATGCTCCTCCATCACGCCGTTGTCCTCTGGTTGGTCTTCAGGTGGTGTCACTTCCACTGTGGGCGGGCTCTGCTCTGTCGCCTGCTGCCCGTCTGTGTTATTGGGAGAGCTTCAAGCAGAACACAAGAGAGAGTTGAGGAGAGAGCGAAGAGACTGCAGAGAAACAGCTCGAAGCATTTAGTATTTCAACTTTTTATACACTCAAGTGAAAAATGTTTGAATGCTTTTGCACTTCAGTGAGAGGTGTTACAGTACAAATGAGCTGAATGGCTTATACTGTCAAGAGAGTACAAAAATTATCACCATGGCAACAGGGATTCACAGATGAATTACTAGATTTCTGAAAAGTAGCAGCATTTTGTTGATCACTTGTAATCCACATAGAGTATCCACGATAACAGCAGTACCAGTATTGAATGTATTTCATCTTTGGAGCTCCTTTGTATGAGCTTGTCGGTGTTTTGCTTTAAAACGTAGACCTCTTTGCTGCTTAGAAAGATGCAAACCTGCATACGACCTACGGTAATTAAAAGCAACTTTACGGCTGTGGTGGTGAGGCTGGTTTTGTTACCTCATGGTAAAATCCTTGGTCATAAAGTGTTTGTGCTGTTTTCTTTAATAATTTCTTGTAAGTTGATTTCTGTGTGAAGCATCTGTTATCCAGGGAGGATAACAGAGGGATCAAAGAGCTCTCTGATAAATGGGATTAGAGAGCTAAAATGAGGCTTCAAGCCTTTTGTCACAAATTGATTTGTGGTAGCTTGAGGCAAACGTTCACTTTGTTAAGACTGTTGCCAAAAAGCGTTGCATCCAAGTAAACTGAGTAAATAATTCTTAATATATTGAATGGAAATATAAAGTTAAAAACAACATAAAGCAACGACACATTTAACTGAATTGCCATCAGACACACTAGACAGAATCTATATTTGCCTCCTGCTGACCTACTGTCCATCACCATTTCCGGTCAGCAGCGCGTAACTGGATCTGTCTGCACCTCTTACCCTTGACTGTCTAGATTGCAACCCGAGTGCCAGGACGTAGAGGAGGGGGGCGGTCGGATACGCTCGTGGTCATCCTGCATCTGAAGCCTGATTGGTCGTCGCAGGCCCCAGAAGATATTCAACAAACCCTCGACGATCAGCTCCCCCTCTTCCTGTTGCCAGAGAGGGGTCATGATCAATATTAACTCAGACATATAAACACATAACGGACAGTTATTACCCCTCTGGGGTCTAGGGTAAATGGGGAGGGGATATTGGATTCCAAATCACTAAAAACTGTGACAGGAAATATCGGGTAGAGGTTTTCATCATCCAGAAGGGATATAACAATGAGAGAAAAATACGGGAACCCACCTCTCTGTGTCGGAGCTGCAGATTCTGTCCTTCATAGTAGAGGTTGTATGTCTTTAGATGTGAGAGGACTGTTACCCTGGAAACAGAAACGTCATGTTTATTATACCTTTTGATCATTTTACACAGCATATTACATGTTGGGAGATTGATTTCCTGCAGTCCACGCTGCAGTGATTGAATATAAAATGCTCATTCACTTCATTCAAATTCAAAATACCTGTACTTAACACGCATCTTCATTTAGACTTCTTCTCCTCCACCAAATATCAGAGGCAAACATTGTAGATTTCCTCCTCTACACTTGTCTCAGAGCTCTCGTTACTATTTTAAAATTAGAATTATCGTATAGTTTTCCTGTCCAGTGAAATTGATGGATCTCAAAATGTAGCGATTTTAAGTTTTTATAATAATCTGAAGGAAAACGTTTTCCTTTATAGGATCAGAGAATGATCCCACTTCTTGAAGCACAGAATCTGAAATCCTCTTAAGATCAGTTCAAAAATGTCACAAAGCTAAAAAATAATCTAAAGGATGCTACAAGCATACAAACAATCCTGCAGATTATGATGTAGTGCAGTACAGTAAACTGACACATAGGGCATTTCTCAATGATGTATTCTCATATATGTTTAAAACATGGAGACAATTTCTTAACATAATATATATAAGTGACTGACAAACAATCATTTCGCAAATCAATTACTAAGTAGTTTGTTGTATATTTAAATCATCTTTTTAACTTAGGCTAAGCTGAACCAGGATAATGAACGATAAATTGAATTTCGAAAACACATTTTAAGAAATGATTAAAGACTTTATACGATGATTTTGTGATGTACAAATACATTACTACTAATTCTCTCAACGTACAATATTGACAAAACATCTGACAGATGTGTCTTACAATCATACTCTTGGATCAGGTGTTGTATTACAGTTTTATTTACATCATGTTAAGTCGAATTAGGACATGTTTTCATAGCAGTGAGTCATGTTTCCTGTAAATGTAATACAGCCAAAAACAATTAGTGAGTTCTCTGGCTTTAAATATTGTCTGATTTGACAATGTAATGTTTAATTGTTACATATTGTAACCTGTAAGGACTCAAATGAATCCATGAGATGAATTGTAAAGTGTCTCAAGATAACATTTGTTATGAATCGGTGCTATACAGATAAAGATTGATTGATTGATTGAAGAATATGTTCATCATTTCGGACAATTATTAATGCATTGAAGTAGAATGGCGTTCATTATTTCCCTGTAGTGGACTAAAGAGTAAAAATAGCGGAAAAATGACAATTAAGTGAAGTACAGTTTCATTTTGTTCTTCAGTAAAGTTCTCCATGTCTCAGGTGGTTAAATCACAGCATGTCGACTAGCCCTTTGACTCTTTTGACCCTATAATGGCTTTACATCATGGGGCTGAATCTCAGGAAAAAACAACTATCAGTACTACGTTTTAAATCAATGCATGTGTAAATATATGTACTGTATGCCTGTGTAATGTTCAGTTGTCAAATGAAGCATGCAAATGTTTGGAAAAAATGTTCATAATAATAAAACAGCTGTAATGTTTATTTAACTCCAAACTCCAACACGGTAAACCTAACTTAACTAGTTTAAAATCATGCCATGAGATCAGATATGGTTTGAATAGTGTATGTGTGGGGGGTGAGGGGCATTTCATCCTTACTTGCTGATGAACTTGTTCTCTCCGATCTGAACCCCGTAATGTGAGTTATCCATTCTAAGTCTGCATGAGAGGAGCTGAGGGACAAAGAAGCAACACAGAGTTCATATTATTTTCCATCTGATTCAGTCTCATGACTCCTCATGACCTGCAGTAAGACAAGAAGAGGCAAAGAGAGAGAGAGAGAGAGAGCAGCTGAGGAGGAGGAGAGAGAGAGCAGCCCGAGGAGGAGGACAAGATGTAGTTCCACACAGTAAACAATAACAGACTGTAGATCATATCGATCTTCCTGTCAATGTATTTCCTCCAACATACTGTACAGATCCACTGATAGCTCAACCAGCAAAACAGCTGCTCTTCCTCCTCCTGCCCACAGTACTTATTTTCTTGTATTCTCTCCTCATGTCTTTGTCTCTCTTTACACATAAACACTTAGAAAACACACGTATGCACACATGCAGCTGTTATACATGGCACTCTGCCACCATCACCCCGCGGAGACTTTTCCTGAGCGATGTGTTTGTGTGTGTTTTCCTTTGTGTGCATGCAGACGAGGCAGGACAGAAGCCTCCAGGAAGGAGACGAACAGGTGCAGCACACATGGGCCACCCGCCGAGCCAAATCATGTCAGCTGCTTAGACATTTATCGCTGAGCGAGCTGCTGGCAGCACCCACTAATGCATTCATCTGTCATATATGAATCTCTACTAACAGGACATGTGGCCTCGTTCTGGACTTATTAGTTCACTGCTTTAAAAACAATAAGGTAATACACTTTCTTGTAATTTCCAAAGACTAATACTTCAACAGTTTATGCAATATGCTTTTAACAATTAAGAAATATCACATGTGTAATTCAAATAAAGCCTCAAACTGATTTTAAAAAAATGTGTCTTGCCATTGATAACATTAGATTTATTCTGTAACTTTTCCTTTAGCACCATTATCAAATCAAAGGTTTTTTTTTCCTGCATATGAAGGTTCATGACCATATGCTGGGCGGCTGTGGTTCACGGTTGTCTCTCAACTGGAAGGTCGGGGTTCGATCCCCAGCTCCTGCAGCTACATGTCCGATGTGTCAATGGGCAAAACACTTCACCAGAAGCCGCTCCCGCTGCTTCGTCGTCAGCGTGTTTGAATGGGTTTATTAAATACTAATGAACACTTTACACAGCAGCCATCAGTGTGTGAATGTGTAGGTGTGACCTGCGGTGTGACAGCACTAGAAAAGCGCTATGCAAGCTCAAGTCCACTAACAATACTCCACTAAAACATCTTCTATATTTCAGCTGTACTTTTGTGTTCAGAACTGTTAAGGAAATGTTAGCTAACTAATTACAGCCGGCTAAACGTACAAAAAAAAAAAAAACTACGGCAACGCTAATGCTAAGAGTTGATGCTCGATGGTCACCTCTGCTTTACTCCTTCTTTTCATTGTTGGCTCGATTTGTTATTAAGAAGTAGAGAAGTCCCTTAGGTGAGAAGTTCAGCAGTTGTTTGGGCTGAAATAATAATTGACTTTTAGTAAAAGGGACAAATTAAGTCAGTTTGGCAAATCTAGGACTTTCCTTTAGACACAACTAAGTGCATAGTTTATTTCCATAATGCTACCTTTGATAGTGAGTGCATCTGTTATACACAACAGATACCAAATTGTGAAGGTCATATAAAATTATTGGCCAAATAAGAACTTATATGTCAGTAACAAGTCCAGAAGTAATCTTACCGTGGTGTAGACAGTGTGTGATAGTTGAGTCGCCGGACGGAGGGAGCTGAAAGTGTGACGAGAGAAAGAAGTTCAATGTCTAGTACATCGTCAGGTTAATAAGAAGTTGTGTCCCTCCGGGGTTGGTTTCAAAAGGCCCAACGGGGGTCTCTTCATGCGAGTGTGACAGCGATCAGTCTGTGAAGAGTAGGGGGGCGCATTTACAGGAAGAGCTCCCCTTCCGCTAAATCACTTCCTCCTTGACTCAGTCACACAGGAAACTGACAGCAGCCTTTGCACACCCCAGAACTTCCTCAATTCAAGAGGCTTGGATGAGCAATCTGTTAACCCAAACAAAGAGTTTACTCACACAGGAGCACAAAATCAAAAACAGATAAGCCACACTTCCATTTGTGCTTTCCTGATCGAAACAGATATCGAAGGATATTGTAAACAAACATATTAATGAGGTCATTTAGCAACTTTAAACACACAGTGTAGATAAGCTGAGGCTGTCAATCTCCAAAAGAAATGTGTTTGATAATTGTGGAAGGATTAAATATTAAACACCAATCAGCCCAGAGCCCCTGCCAAGGTCTATAAATATTTCAGCATCTATATTAGCCCTGTCAGATGCTCAAAAGCTAACCATTCACCGCCACAATGGAGATCATTAGACTTTAATGGTGCCGCCGTGGTCAAGGGCAGCTGTGATCATAGACTCATGAACGGTTGATGTCAGTGGTCTGACAGTTGTAATTGTCTGGTGTCGAGTCCAAAGACCAAAGTGAACTTTAGGTCAACTTTATTTGTTTATCAAATCGATAAATCCCCCTGATGTCAACACCTGAAACAAAGATCAAATCTGACATTTCACCTTTAAAGCTGCTGCTCAAGCATCGATCACGTCGTAATGAATGTGGCCTCTGTTGGTGAAACGTTTGCAGGATATTTCCCAGATTTTTGGATTTGTGTGTTTTGATCCAGAGAGGATTTCACAGTTTCCTACAGATAAAGGATCTCAGAGTTTTCTAAAACGTCATGAAAGAGCTGGGAGTTTGTCTTTATTATGCTTATGTGACAAATCTTTGTTTTCTCCTTGTTGAAGACTACTTTACCATAATGTAGGGAGGGCTCTGTCACTTTTTTCTAACTTACTACTGCCTACAAATAACACATTTAAAAAAAATAATAAAGGCCAGCAAATATATTTTAACAATTTCTCAACTTCCTGATCTGATGAAATGATCGAATCTGTGACTTAAATCTGTTTAGATTAGACAGAACATAATGCCTTCTCAATTAAATGTACTGAAGCAGCTGTGTATGGTACACAAAAACACAATTTGTTATTTTGGCCGGTAAAAAACATGTTTGGCCGGTGAATTTTTTCATCTACCTGCCACCTTGGCCGGTGAGTCAAAAAGTTAATTTCAGACCTTGTCTCTAACTTTGCCTTTTTTTGGCAAATTGTCAAAACTTGGTTAAAACCAGACCATCATATGTTAAGTTGTTGTAAAAAAATAGTTTTCTTCAAAGAACCTCGAGCTCACCCCCTGACCATTGCTGCAATATTTACAGTAAAATCTATACTTTGTCTGGATTTTCCGGCTCAGCTATAGCAGACAATGAAATCCATTAAATGAAGGAAAACATGAAAATAGCCGACACTGTAAAAGTACATCAACACATTAACTCTCACCTGGATCATTTTTACAACAGGCTACAAAGAACTCTTGTTCTCACTATTAATAACTTCTTCGCACCGTCTAAAGTGTTGATACAGATTGCTTATCTTGTCAAACCCACAGCCCAAAACTCAAACCCTCCATATCCACTATGATAAATGACAATGTATAGTAAAACACACTCTTATATTAAAGAAGCTAGAGCCAACTTTTTTTTTTACAGTGTTGCTTTATAAATGCCCGAATCTCTCAAATAATTTTAAAAATTAGTTTGACCTATCATTGCAGCTTCTGTACAGCCCAGTTTCCCCCCAAAAAATTAGAAACATGTTTGCAATTCAACTTTGAAGTAGGCTTATACAATGTTCCAAACAGTATGAATCTCTCAGTTTCAACATTTGACATCTTGTCTTTGTGCTGTTTTCAATCCCTTATGGGGTTTCAAATCATGAAATTCTGTCCCAGCTTGTTTTGCACAACATGTTTAATGTGTGTATTAAAATGACTTCTTAAAAGTAATCTCCATTCATGTGTAGTTCACTTGACATTTAAACGGCAACCCAGTTGATAAAAAGCAATGATTTCTGATGTCAGTTGTAACCAGAGGATCTCTGTGGAAATTATCTGTATGACATTAAGACAGCAGAAAGCTGTTTCTGCTTTCTGTTTCCACCGACAGCAGCATATAAATACAGCAAAGCCAACCAGATATCACAATCTGGTTTCAGCCGAGGGAGCTTCTTCTCTGTCCAAATGTAGTCCTCTTTGACTTCTTGAATTCCTCCTCTGTCTCATTACAACATCAGACAATCCTCAGCCTTCATGCTCCTATCTTTATGTCCCTTTTGCCTTCATCTGCTCAGTGGGTTTTTTTTTTTAACTGTCCCGTTTTGCTGATTAAAAAACCCTGTCCTCTCTGCTGTCTTGCCTGTTTTCCTCATTCAGCCTCCTCCTCCCTTCTTGTGAAAGACTAGAAAGGCCTGCACCATGCTATTAAAACTCATGACCACTACTTCCTGACAGCCTCCCTCCCACCCCAAACACACACATTCTCTGTGTCTTTCATTGACACACATGCACGCTTGTTTTCTGGCCTCTTGCCTCTGTCCCCCCTCTGTCAAAGTCTTTAGCTTAGATGAAAGATGTATAGCTTTAAAGCTCCTCCTGTCCTCTTTTAAACCCCCAGCCACCCCTACCTTCAGCCTCCACATTACTCCTGCTCTGCCTCACTATTGTCACAATTGTCATAGCAACATCCAAAACATCTAAGCTCCAGCAACTAGCCCACAAACATGGAGCCAAAAATAGTGTTTCTCTCTCCTGCTCCTTGTTAGGCATACTGGGATCGACAAAAAAAAAAAACACTGCAAGGCTTGCATGAATCTACATATGGTGCACAGATTCTCCAGATAGAGTGGAAAGTATTTTTTGACCCTCAGTTGACTGCAGAGCTGAAATGATTAGTCAATCTAAGAGGAATGTAACTGCAACAACTACAAGCAAAAACTGCACTGCACTTTTGAATGAGTATGGTTTTGGTCTATGATAAACTAAATGTCTGCAAGTGTCTGGAAAAAAAAACAGTGTGCAATGTACTCTTGGAGCTTGTGATTGGCGTCGTCCGCCCCATTTATGAACATTAACTTGCGCTCACCTAAAACTAAAGCGGTAGAGTAAAACAGTCCAGCGAAGACGTCTTTCAGTGAGGATCAATAATGAATTGAGGTTGTTGATCATTCTGAGGATTTCTTTTTTTTTACATTTGAAATTCAATTCAAGTTGGTTGAATACTTTGTCCATGGCTTGTATGTCAGGCACAAGGCTACTCTACATCATAACTTCATGATGATGGCAGGACTCACAGCAATATGTTCCATTTACTGAATTACTTTAAGCCAAGTGTTTTAAACCAACTGGCATCTTGGTGCACATCGCCAGCCAAAACATTAGGTATTCACTTTTATGCAGATGGTCTATAAAGCTCTGCTCTGTCTAGCCAGCCATGGTTGCTGAGAGGAATCTTGACTGTCTCCTGCTAGTTATATAACCTGTTTTACTAAAACACAGATGTGCACACTCCCTGATAGATCAACTGCGATTAAAAAGATGCATTTATATCTATTTCTGTTCAAGATTTAAGACCAAACTATCACAAGTGCCATGGGCATGTCTACTATCACTGCACGTCTTATATTCCAGATTCATAATCAATGTGAGTCATATGCGCGTTTGAAAATTAAATAAATGTTGCTGTTGTGCATCTTATGAAGTAAAACATGTTTTAGTTCTGTTTATGTGTGCGCAAACTATCGCGGTATCAAAGTCCACCCAGTGAAAAGCGCCACATCAACCCCATCTTCATGATCAGCCTACTTAGCTACACCGACGCTTCTGTCTGATTCTTGCCGACTTTGGAGATCATAACTCGGCTTACCAAACCCGGGGACGCAGGCTCTACGGTTCTTCTCTTCCACCTCCTTCGCAAGGTCTCTCCTCTTCCTCCCGTTACGGAGGCTCACCTGTCCGCACACGGATAACTCCTCAGTCAACTCGTTGGTAACAATCGCTGAGGCGCGTGGATCCAGGGGCTGAGCGCGAGAGGTCCATCTGTTGTGGCGGAGCTCGCGGGCACAGCAGCGTCAGGCCCCGGCCGGGAGCCAATCAGAAAGCGACCCTGACGCCCCTTTGTTCACGCTGCGTGCAGAGATCGGGCTGAGATGAATGAAAACAAGAAAACAATAGGAGGAACGAGCATGCGCACAAACACCACGGTGAAAAACCAGCCCGTCATTAATATTCAGTGAACAACCAAAAATACTTTTAGTTGTAAGAATGCCAATAAAACTTCAGATAGATGATATATATAGAGATTAAATTCTCTATTGCAAGCTAGCCTAATTATTTTAAAAGTCTAATTTTTGACTTTATTGAATTTATAAGATTGACATTTTGTCCATCAGTAACATTTCATCAGTTACTCCTAATGGAAATGGAGTCCCAACATTTTTAGAATACAAAACATAACATTGAAAATTATGTGTAAAACAAAAAAGAAGTTGGGGGTAAAAACAGGATCTGTAAACATATCTAATAGAGCTGTGATTATTATTTTATAATTACACTACAAAAGTTAATAAAATAATCGTTCTCAGCCATTTTTACATATAAGATGTCAAATATTTATTTTTTCCCCACCCAGCATCTTTAACCACCCATTTGTAGGGATGGAAATCGCAGGCACGATTCAACAGCCGATACGTGGCCCACGATAATGAAAATATTAAGATACAGCGGTTCTGCTATAATTGATAAATTGCTGGACAGACATATGATGATAATATTTAATTAACTAAATAATATCAAACATCCTTAAAAAAGGGAAGTGCAGATTAATGAATTTATTCATTGCAATTTGGCATCGGTTTCGGTTATTATCATGAATCATCCCCTTTCACCGCTGTCCAGCATTATGCCAATGTCTTCTTCTTTTATCCAGCGCCAAACTTATTCTTTGGTCAATTTACTGTCTTTCATGTTACACTCATTCATGTCACAAGCTGATACTGCGAGGAGTCATGAAGTAGTGATGCGTTACGTCAAATAAGGAATTCTGTTTAGAGTGCAGTATTATTCTTTTGGCCGGAGCGATAAGATAATTATAACACACGAGTCAGGATGATGATAAATTGCTGTATTGATGTTTTGTTCCACCCCTACTCATTCGCTGTATCTCTTTCATATCATGGTTAATCCTGTTTTTAGATTTTGGTCTGTTGCTTGGATGAAACAAATGTTTCTGTTTCTGGTAGGCCTACATCATTTGAAGGATCAGGATCAGAAAAAAATAAAACCATTCTGGCCGCCTACTGCTGTCTAAGTGGATGCCTTCCTCATGTCCTTTTATAGTGTGACTTTTGGCCTGATTACAAATATAAGCTACTGCTGCTACTTTATAAGCTGAGTAGCCTAGCGGTTATCTCGCACGCCCTCTGTACAGAGTTTGTAGTCCGCATCGCAGCGGCCATGGGTTTGAACCCGACCATGGCCCTTTGCTGCATGTAATCTCTCCTTTTACAGTACTTTCTGTCTCTCTTCAGCTGTCCTATTTAATAAAAAATAACTTGATGAAGAGAAAATAAATATAAGCAACAATAGAATTGAAAGGCTTTTTACCAATTTGACACTGTATTTTAATAGCTATAAAAAAGTGACACATTCTCATAGTTCAACAAAACAAAACTTGTGTCTTCAGTAGCGTTTAGATCTTTCTGTACAGCACAGCAATATTTGGGCATCACATTAGTCTTTATATCACAGGCTACATATATCAGTATTATTGTCACAATAACGTTTGGTGACCAATAAAGACAAAAGACTGCATTCATTCAGTAACATCTTATTAAATTGTTTGAGGAACAGAGCATAAAACATTTTGTTGCTACAATATGTTTACACAATTTCTCTTCCATACGATTTAGCAAACTTAACTCCATTAAATATACATTTTATTCTAATTATTTACTTTTTTTTTTACATCTATTTAAAGTTTCTCAGCTCGGTCGTTCATTTATACTGGTGTTAACATGGACAGAAAGCAATGTTAGATTAAAAAAATACAATATGAAAAAGGTCCCAACAGACAGAAAGATTCCACCAAACCACAGATTCAATAAAGGATCAAAATGTTTTTACTTTTTACATAAAAAGTCAAACAAAATGGTGCGATTCCAGCATGAATTAAGATTAAAAGTTATGATCTATTTCTTACAAATATTCGCTTGCAAAAACATGAAACGATGTATAAAAAACAAACATTAAAAAGATAAAACACCAAATACATCAAAGTATATTCTTCAGGTAGGAACCCCTTCAAAATAACTGAAAGGGATTGATGTCTTTGTGTTATACACCACATGGCCACCTTCCTAAGAGCCTCCTGATGGTTACACTGACTTTCTGTAAATCCAGTCGGAAAACCATCAGGAAGAGAGTCTGGGCTGTGAGATCCAACGTGTTTGTACTATAACTGTAGACAAAGTACGTTCAAAACTGGAAAGTAAAAGTTAGGAACAAGAGGAAGCTGCCTTCAGACACAAAGACATCCAATGTTCATGATAAGGCAGGTTCATCAGCTGCTGATGACTTCAGTCGGGCTCTTAGGAAGGTGGTCAGTCGACAGTGTCTTCTCCTACATCCAGAAACATTAACAGTAAGACCTCCCAGGGAGAAAAGCAGGTACACTAAACATGGGAGGACACCACCAATATATTATCACTGCAGCTCGTTAGGTTGGGGTGAGGGGTTTAAACAGAGAGTGGAGAGTGTGGAGCAATGAGAGAGGATGTGATGGGAGAAGTAAGTGCTGGTTGTAAGAACATGACACAGATGACAAGGTCACGGAACATGTGTGTGATTCAAATTTGAGCATGTGCATTCACTGAGAGATACCCCTCCCTGAACTTAACCTGATCAACACCTGCTCAGGCAGCGAGGTCACACAGTGCGGGAAAGGGAGCTGGTGTGTCATTAAAACACTGCTTTTTTTTAACCAAACAGCTACCAGTCGTGGGCATAGCCAGCATTGCAAGTGGAAGGATTTAGATTTACAGTTTCTGCTCAGATCATTGGTCACTAGCTAGCCTCTTTGTGACCTCTCACAGATGTCTACTGAATTCACAATTGTTAGCCTGAAAAAAAGCCTGATGTGTTTAGGACGGGAACCCTCAAGTTTAGGCAGATTTTCGTCTAACTTCATAAAGGTTGGGCCAATCACAACAGTTTATTTGATATGGGACGGGTGTTAGAACCATTGAGGTATTTTAATTCACAACCAAAACGGCTGCTGTCAATGTGGAAACTTCTGAATCTACTATGATGAACAACTAAGTATCAAACTTGATAGCAGTTCAAAGTCAGACTGCTTTATCATCTGCAGCCAAACTTCAAGAAACTTCATGAATTGGAAGTTGGAACCAGTTACCTCGCCCAGCAGTCCAATGCTATGTCAAACGTTTCAACGGTCTGATTGACTCTGCAGGTATTACACAAATTGCATGACATCAATCAGATTCTGTAACCTACTCAGGGATTTCAACAATAAAACCTTTTCAAACACGTTATTTTATCTCTTTGTAACTGAGGACGGTTATCTAACATCATCGAGGTCTTACACTTTGATAGCTGTGATTTTGATGTACTGAAATATATGTTTGAAATTCTATAAAAACAGGCCACCACTTGTGCTCTCATTTAAACGGAGTCAGAACCTCTTTTGAGATCCATTTTTGGTTTCAGTTTGCGATGCAGAGCTTGACTATTTCTAATTCCTCGTCAGTAAAGTACAACAGGCTAGCTAACTTTTAGAGCAGAGCATAGCGTAGCGTTGCATAGCACCACAGTCTGTTGACATGTTAGACCTTTAACCTTGATTTTGTCCCAAGTCAACATATAACCAGGCACACTGTAGACATCTGCTGAAGCACAACATTTTTCAAAAAGAGAAATCCCACTGCTTTGATGTGAGGACAATATCTGAAATGTTAGGGTGGGCTACAAGCACAGCAGAATCATTAGTGTAATATACAGGGGGGGGGGGGGGGGGGGAGAGGTCACACATGGGGCTATGACTAGCAATGAGAACATAAACTAAGGCCCAAAAATATATAATCAGAAAGACATTACAAAACATGTTTTCAAACCATCAAACAGAAAAATGTTCACACTTGACTTCATATTAAATCAGCACTCAAGTGACATTTGAGGGTCTCGGGTTAGTCAGTATTACTTGATGTTAACCCGATGTTCTTGGCACAGCTACATGTGCAAACAGTACTTATTGTAAAAAGGCCCTGACTCAGACTAAACTATCCAGTTTAAGATTGAAAAGTGTTTTTCTCTTCTTTTTAAAAACATCATGGTATAAAAGGAATGAAATAGGGGCAGCTTATATTAGAAACTATCTTTAGAAAAAGCTGCTGAACACTGACTGTAGCTGAGGCTGAGGGGTGGAGGAACAGCTGTCAATCATCTCACTGATCTCTTCAAGCACAAGTAAACTAATAAATATACTTTCAGCAATGTGCAACAGACACATAAACAGGCTTTAAGCAATCATTAAACATGAACTCTCTTCTCATAAATAAATAAATAACCAAAGTTAGAAAGACTGTTGCTTATACTTATAGAAAAGTTTTGGTATAGGGTAACAGAACGCAAGAGGAAATTCAAAGAATTTTGATGAACTTGGTTCAGTGAAAATCTCAGCTGGGCTAAATATTTAGAAGTAAGTTTCTTTTTTTTGTTGCTGTTCATGATTCATTTTCTACATTTACAAAGATCAAAATGTTGTAAACATTTTAATGGCATATTTTTTAAATAGCTGTGTTTCTTTTTTTAAATCACCAGCGGCACGCAGTGAGGTCAAATCAGAGACTCGCTCTTAACGGTCACTCCTGGGTTCATGAGGGTAAAGCCTGCTGATGCTCCAAGTGTCTCAGCCAAATACGCCCAACTAAAACCAGACTTGAACCGCATCAAATATTAGCATGTCACTGAGAGAGGGGGATAGAAGAAGAATACAGCTGACAGAGGATGGGACAAGAAGTAGGAATGTAAGGGAAAGTCATCAATATGATTAAAATGTTTAAAAATGACGATAACATCCTTAAAGTCATGACAGGCTGCAGAAAAAATAAACACTACATCTTTTTTTTTTTTTTTTAAACAATAGAATGACATTTACCCCTCCCCCAACCCTTATATTTAAATACTCTAAATGCAAACAAAACCACCACCCTTACATATTAGTATAATAATGCTGTGGCTTACTGAAAACACACATGGGAATACCAAGTGATTTTGGATAGTAGCGGGATATATCATCTATTTGCAGCCTTTGTAAATCCTACATTAACACACATTCCTCCTAAAAGCAGAGGACTAGTGACGGCTTAAAACTGAGAGAAGACCTACACAGAGCGTCAGAAATCTCTGCAGTCACATGAGGAAGAACATTTGGAGGAACATTCTGCAATTATTTGACCTTCATTTAACAGCTTTCAAATCAATTTGATGGTAAACTGACCCGTAAAAAGGGAGATGGGTGCCTTTTTTTTCCCCATTCTGACTCTGCATCTGTTCTTGCATTATGTACTTTGGCTCTAGTGGGCGGAATCCTACTAGAAAAGTATGTCATGCTTTACAGGACTACTTCTGGAAAAAAGCTGTTGACTGCCACACTATCTATACCAAGAATACTGAGCCAAGTGCAGAGGAGAAGAGTCAGAGGAGGATGTTGATGGAGATAACCAAAAGAGAAAGTGAAGAGCAAGAGTCTGCACCAACCTCAGACTGGCAACCGGGGAAAAAATAAATCTTATATCATGTTGAAAAAGGCCACGTCTGTGTTACTGTTATAAGGGAAGTAGAGACATTACTAAATTACTGTTTTGGTATGCAAGTGCATCTGTGTGTAAGAGGAGATGATCAAAAACATAGCAGAGCAGTAATAAATTTTTTTACAAAATTTGATTTAGTTCCATTTTAAGTAAACGGGTAAGGTCTTATTTGACGGCAAATGAAAGTAGGATGTCTTTAAACTGGTATGTATTAGCAGGGGTCTTGTGATTTTCAGCACTCTGCTTCATGACAGAAACAGGAAGTATGACGTGTAGCATGAGATGAGCAGGTGGGATGTTTTGGTAAATGGGTCTCTGAGGAGTTTCACTGAAGAAACAGGGGCACGCGCACTGTGGAGTGACATTCTGGTTTTAACTCAAGAGGCAGATAGTGCGAAGAAAAAAAAATAAAAATTCACAATCACTTTGCATGAGTAAGGGCACCTGACAAACCACTTCCATCAATCTGCATCACCCTGACGTGCATTGGAGCTCTCAAGCTAGTTTTTATGAGGCTTTTGGTGTGCGAGCATGTGTGTGCTTTTGTGTGTATCTAATGTGGTTGCATAAGAATCTAGAGGCAAATTTCTCATAGATGACATTTTGCATAATCCTCAATTGATATGATCAAATCTACTGTGCTTTTAGTAGAATCATACTTAGGCAGTTTAAGTTAGCAGTGATCATCCAACATTCAGTTAAGATTGTTTTTTACGTCCGTCTATCTCATCTGGATTAAAGTGCAAATGCACAAACCTGCTTTTTCCTTTGTGCACACACATGAACACACACCAACTAACCTCCGTGTGGAGACATCTTCTATATCATGCTGTGACTTGCTGGAGCATGCTTTATATAGCATAGTAGGAAGTGGGATAAGATTGACACAAGCTAAAGAAAACACACACTGGTGGTTGGGGGGGGTTTGGTGCATCACATTTTCTTCCGCGCAATCTTGAATCCTGCACCACTCCTGTCCTCCACTCTCCCATCCTTTTTTCTTAGTGTCCCATCCCTTGCTCCCCAAATTCAGCCACTTTTAAGATTTTGTCAAAAGCAGCCTGGTGGCTATACCCGACTATCCTCCGCTGTGGTGCCTCCCTCCCCTCTGATTCCTCCGCCCTTCACCACATCCCCATGTCCCGTTCTGCTCCTGCAGGCTCCCTGTAGCCTTCCCCACTGGTAGCCTGTGAAGGCGGGGCTGATAGGGATGTACTTGAAGATGGCGTGTCTGTTGATGAAGTCCATTCCAAATGGAAGATCATAAGACCTCATCCCCTCCAGTTCTGATGTACTGAGACCAATGCCTCGTTTCAGCTTCCTGATGCCTCGTTCTTCAGCAGTACCTGGGGAGAAATGGAATATCAATGAGTATCCTTTGATCCAGTTGAAACCCCAAACTAGTAGGAACACAATTTATAAAATGAACTGATGTGTTTTCTTTGATTGCATCAATCTTATGGATCAACACGGATGCTTGCAGGTTAATCCTCTGTAGTTTAGGTCACAGCAGAACATGATGTTGCCCCCAGATGTTTTCCAGCTTTCCCTCAGTGGTCTTGAGATGCTCTCCGGCAAAAGTGAAGATGAAACCCACATTCGCATGTTCTGCCTTTGTACTTATACTTACATCAGCTCTGCATTTAGACTGGTTATTATGGTTTTCTTTAAGGGCTGCGCAATTTATAACAACAAATATAAAGATGTATTTATGTAAACAATCAATACTTTCTCACTCTGCACGGTTACATTTTAAATGGGGATGAAGGATCGTGTATGATGGCCATGATTTCACACCATTTTGACGTAGTCAGATAAAACTCTAGCAAGGTAACAGCTACCCACTGCTGCCCTTGTCCAATGTGTGGCCCTAAGCGGAATGTTTTACGAGCTGCACTTCCTAAACAACGACAACGATAAGTTGAAAATTAAGAGGTCGGTCTAAAAAGAACCAGCATATCTACAGGAGGGACAGAAACAGAGGTGTGTGTGTGTGTCCGCTATGGTGAAGAGGAACAGAGGGGACAGAGCGAGTGGAGTCCGCACTAATCGATTGATCACATCATCATCCGTAAATGAATAAATACAAATTTGAACAGATGAGGAGGCCCTACACACAGCGCGTGTTCTGCATGTAAGGAGCGGTGGGCTTGGAGCTACCCTCAAATTAAATGGTGCAGGATGGGGGAAAAAAAGTAGGATTTATTTTGGATTCAGGAGGGACAAGCTGCAAACACAGGTATTATGTTAAACATTAAGAACAGCTTATAGACATAAAAGCTGTAAGTAATAGCTAATATTCTTTAATTTTTGATGGCACTTTCTATTGTTATCGCAAATTTTAACAACGTAACAACATAACACAATCCCTCTCATTTTGAGCAGGCCTATTTACTTGTTTGCAAAATGATTTTGCATAAAACCATTATTTTATCATCAATATCATACAAGTAAAAACACAAGGAAATGTCAAGTATAAAGTTGGCACAACAAAGACAAAAATAAAAAAAACAGTGAATAAAACATCTTACCAGGAATTGTGTTGTCCAGAATGAAGGCGACAGAGCCTCCGACAAACATGGCAGTGGTGAGGAGCACATTCAACACTTGGTCAATTTCGACTATGCCTGTGAAAGGTAAAGAGACCGCGGCTGAGTAACTGGCTGAGAAAAAAACTAAGTTGTCAAAAAGTTCAGCCACAAACTGATATCATCATTCACTCACAGACCTAATATCTATCATGTTAGTCCATTTGTTTTCCACACCTATTATCAAATCAGCTAGCTTCAAAGCACAGCTGAGCTGATACAAAGGAAGAGGTATAACATACTAAAGAAAAAACAAAAAGGGACCATCGAGGTGAGGTGAGGTGAGTCACCAGTACCTGCAGTTGAACTAGGCATTAATATGTTTGATAAAATTATATTTTCAAGTTTTCAACTCCAAAGTGCACCATGTTCCATCGTACTTTAAGAAATGTTATTAAGCAGCAGTATTAAGTCTAACCCGTCTAAAACATTGAAGAGAGTTGCTGCTGAAGGTTCTTTCCATTACAGTTAAGTGCTCCAAGAATTCTTCTTTTAAGCCGATACTGAACTCTAGATTGTTTACATGTAGGGTTCTTTCCCCTCCACTCACCTGTGACCAGCGGGTTCTGTTTGAGGTAGCTTGGCAACATCAGACCAAAGAAGATGGAGAAACCCAGAACAAAGAGGTTTCTGGAGGAGTTGAGGTCGACAAACTGCAAGTTGGACAGTCCCACCGCTGTGATCATACCGAACAGGGTGCAGAAGAGAGCTCCCAGGACCGGATCAGGAAGAGATGCAAACAGAGCGCTGAATTTACCAATGAGCCCTAACAGCAGCATCATGGCAGCCCCATACTGAATCACACGTCTGCTGCCCACCTGGAGGACCAATCAGAGAGCAGAAAAAGGAGAGCACGTTTATAAACTTTTTTTAATATCCTATATGTTATCTGTATCTATTTATAAAAATGTTTTTACAGTTTTTTCAATATTATGAATGTTGATTTTTTTTTTTACTAATATTTTGTTTGTGTAGTTTAAATGTTGCAGCATTTTTGGTTGCATATTTAGATGAGAGGTTGCACAAAGAAACTTAGGCAGCATCTTTCACATAACTCAATCGGTCAAACTGCAACCTGCACGTAACCTCAAGATATTTGATGCAAAAAACATTTTTTTATAGAAGATAATGGTTCTACTAGAGGCTTGGCATTTTAGCTTGAAAGGGGAATTAAACAAATAATGATTTATGAAAGTATTTGCCTATAACATTTCTCCTGAATGACTTAATCAAGAGGTCCGTCAATGTCAGAAAAGCAGTTTCAAAATGTAAAACATTCAGTAAAAGAAATATTTCATGTAAATGGCCACAAACAGATGAGAGAAGAAACCAAAAAACATATGAATTAAAGTGTAATGATAAACATTTATCAAGACTAATATAGAAATAGAAACATCTACAAACAAAAATGTCAGCATAAAGAAAGACTCAATGAGTTCAGGTGTCTGTTACCTTTGTGATCCCCAAGACGCCTATATTTGGACTGGACGAGGTGGAGCCATTTCCTGTCCCGAAAAGACCGTCCAGAACACAGGAAATGCCTTCTACAAATATCCCCCTTCACAGACAGCAGAAAAACAAACTCATTAAAGTATTTTCCAGACATGAAATTGTCCATGCTCAAAACAAAGTGACAGATTAGACAGACTGAAACAGAAACAAGAGAAATTACCTATTGATGGCATGGATTGGGGGTGGAGGAGCACAGGACAGACGTGCACAGGCGTAGTAATCTCCAATAGATTCAATGATGCTTGCCACCACCGCGCTCATCATGCCGATCACACCCGCAACTGTGACAGTAGGAAGACCCCACTGGACTGCAATAATTAAAAATACAGCAAAGGGTCAAAGCTAAGAGTCAGAACATATCTCAAAATGAAAATCTCTCCTCTAAATAATGATTCATTATACAAACTGATTAATTTCCCTTTGGTTAAACCAAACATATAATGTATACCCATGGTGTAATAAGTATTTAGCAATATTATCATATAAAAGTGATCTGTTCACTGAGTACTGAAAATAGAACTCAGGTAACATTTCTGCAGTATTTCCTGCCAACAGACTTTACTTAGAGGGGCTGCCAAAGGATATTAGTACCTGCATATTTATACTGCAACCCTATTGAGCAATTATCCATCTTAGATAACTAAACCATCTGTAAGTAATTAACTATAGAGCAATCCTCTTGCTCGACTGACAATGCTCTGCAGCACAATGACAATCTCTGGTACTGAAGTTTCTTATGAACATGCATTTATTGGATTGATTTATTCTGTCTTACATAGGCCTTCTGATTACGTTGTTTATTATCCTAATCATGTTTATAGATTACAACATTAACTAAAACCCTTATTTTCATGTGCTTAAGTGAAAAACAACCTACTAGACATCGACAAATTCATTAACAAATAAAGAAAAAGGTTGTGTCCAACATCTCCCTTCATCTCTCTACAGCCAGGTTGATCACATATTACTGGCATCAAGCAAAACATCAAAACTCTTCCTTTTCCTTTTCACACACTTACAAGGATATGGGATCTTAAACCACGGGGCAGCGGTGAGGATTCCTTGTCGTGCGTCTGTGCGGGCGTAGAAGCCATACTTGTCTTTCTCCGGCGGGAAAACATCCGTCACAGTGAAAATGAAGCACAGCAGCCATGACATCAGAATGGCCATGATGATCTAAATGCAGAAGAAAATAATACACATACAACGTTAAGACAAAGCCAAATAAAATAATATGAGCATAGTAAATGTGGAGGCTAAAATCACACAGCTTCAACAATCAACGATCGCCGAGTGTGAATGTGCACATTAAAGATATTAACCTGTTTCATCATTATTACAAATAACATCTAAACATATAACAAGTTACCATGGTGATCTACCATGGTATAAAGTGAACCACCTTCGTAATACTAAAAAGCAAGAGTAAACCCTCAAGTCAGCTCGCTAACCAAAAACAACCTGCTTGGTAGTGCAGTTCATGTTTGAATCTAAAGAGTGACCCAGTCAGAGCAATGGGAAGCCTTCACCAGTAGAGGGCAGAAAAAGACAGATTTAGCCGCTGCATAAGGGCAGTCAAAGGGAAAACATTTTAAGCTCTCTTTGATACAAGACAAGTTTTGACAAACAATTTGTGTCCAAAGGAGATAACACAGTGTTTGTTGGTGTTGGGTTGGGGGGCTGATTCATTTAAAGCAAGGAGAATATTGACAAAAACAGTATAATATGCAAAAGACATCAAGGTGAAGTGTGTACGTGCTTTAATGAGTAAACAGTCTACTTACAGGAAACATTTTGAAGACCTGCAGCCTGTAGGAAGTCCAGCCTTTTTTGGCTTTGTAGACCGGCAGAGGGAAATGAACATTTCTGGCATACTGAGAGAAGAGCAGCACCAAGAAGATAGTTCTGTGGACACAAACAAGTATCCTAAGTTTGATTGATCACAGTCAAAAACAAGAGTCTTAATCATTTTCTGTCATGTATATTCTCCGGTGAGAGAACAATTCTGTAGGACAAGCGGCATTTTTTCTTGTCACAGGGACCCAGAAAGCGTCACCGCCTCAGAAAGTGCAAATAAGTGGCAATTACCAGCACATATCCTCCGTCACTGTGGTGCGAGAGGACAGGCCCTCAAGTTACAGTGTAAACATCCGCGACACAACAGGAACTGATCCTGATGCACCTCCTGAACATCAAAGCTTTGGAGTGAATCTTCCCCAGTGAGTCAATCCTCAAATACAGTCCAAAACATATTCCCAAAGAACTGTTTTGATTCCTGCACTATAAGCTCTCTTCTCTCTCCTCTGTTAGAAAGAAGCTTATCATGCTGATGCTATTTCTTAGCATCAGTTTAGTTAAGAGAATTAGCTTCTATTGTAATTTTCAAACTATGTAACCCCACCCCCTCCCCCATAACCTTTTGTATAGAAAACAGGGGCTACAAAAGATATATGTGTTCCTCATGAACAGAGAACTATGGTTGTGGAACATTTGACTGCAGTCAGGTGTGGTGTGCTCGATGGTGACAGGTTTTCATGGCAGAAAATGTTTTTAAATAGTAACTAGTCATACAACTCCACCAACATGATCCACTACTGCTATCCTTCTATATGCTCAGTATTTCCTATTTTTTCCATGAAACACATTTAAATTGGCCTTTTACCCTTTAGCACTACAACATTATGTATGTTTGGATGACTCTCAGAAGGTCAGGTTTCCCTGACCTTGTTGATACTTGAATGTGCATTTCATTACATGACCGTCTGAACTTACAGCATTGCGATGCCCCAGTGTTTTCCTGCCCTCTCTCCGGCGGCCTGGAAACCAGAGAGGCCAATGAGGGTCACTGTGGGGGTGATGGTTAGCGGTCCGATGTATTTAAGCAGGAGCCCAGGAAGCCCCAGTGCTCCTATACACACCTCGATCATGGAGGACACGATAATAGCCCCTTGGATCTGACAAAACAAAGAAATGACACAAAAAGGGGGTTAATAAAAAAAGACAAAGTATAAAAAGACCCAAACAGGGAGTTTCCTACTTAAACGCTGCAGAAGTTTTACATGCTGTTCAAATTCAGGCTGAGAAGAAGAATACAACATGATGTTGAGTTCAATGACTGAAGGTAAATGTAGGTTAAACACTTTAATTTAAATCAGTACTTTAAATTTTAAAAGCTACATCTTGGACTGCTACATCATTTTTTTGAAGGAGCGGTCCTGCCTCACCGGTGGTAAAACTTCTGCAAGCGTCAAAAGAAGTTATATAACCTTAATTAAATATAATATTACATTTCAACTTCAGGCAAAATAAGCAGTGCAAAATAAGCAAAGCTCATGAATGAGTCTACCGTCCTTAAGTAACAAGTCCTATCATGAAATGTGTCTCCACTCAGTCACATTATCAGGTTGCTTTGCAGTTCACCTTCATGATACACATACAGAATCTGAACAAAAGGTTTGTCTTACCTTTAGTTCAATAATATGTGTAATCATATATGATTTAAGAATAAAAAGAAGGAACCGTTTATTGACATCAAGGTTGGAGGAGATGGGTTTACAGATTCATCTGGAGTGTTTAATTTGATACTTCCTGAGTGATAATCCCGTTTGCTCTGTCATTGTGTTCCCTTTTGTCAACTTTTGCACGTTCCTCCTGCCTTCAGCCCATTGATGTTCCCCTCAATAATTCGATTGAGCCTGATTGAGTTTGGTCTTATTCGGTCGTCACATAATGACAATTACTCAACAGGCTTGCGCAAACGGGAAAGGTTAACTGAAATTAACAGCTCCTGTCACATAAAAGCAAACCCTGTGGCCATACATGAACAGTGATACTCTTATTTGGCTTTCTATGGCCTTAACTTATTTGGCTTGTTGATCCATAAAACATCCTTTTTTCTGCTTTAGTTGTGAAAAAATATTGGATAAGGACTTATTCAAGCTCTGTTTAAAAATCGTGCACTAATGTTTACCAAGTTTACTTCAAATGTTCAAAACAGCTACAAACATGTCATGCAGTTTTTCCTGCAGCTATTTTATGTTTTATCCCCCACCTTCACATTTTCAGCTTTGCAGTATTATTATTAAAGCTTAAGACTTTGTTTTGTCTTGTGTTTTTTTGTCTTACCTCTCGTATCCTGGGGTGCCAGATGTGCTCTGTGTGGAAGAGCTCTGTGCTGTTAAAAACTGGAACTACACCTGATGGAAAAAGAGAGATGGGGAGATGTCAAATGAATTAGACTACTGTGTCAATCACGACTCTACTTATGAATATGGAACAGCCAAATAAATAAATAAAAAACAGCTAATCCTATCTGAGGCCTGTTAAATTCTCTGCCATCTTGTCTGCCTTTGACGCTGACAGAATTTGGAGTTGGGATCAAAGAAAGCAAAGATCTAGTATTCCACAGTTTGTGATTTTAACTTCATATCAGATAGACTTCTCTGTATAGAATGAGTGAAAGACGGAGGACGGGTTACCTGTGTTGTTACACTTCCATTTGTCCAGTGAGAGGATGGCTCGGGCCGGTGCGAGAAAGGCAAAAGCACTGGCCTGGAATAAAGGCAACCTAAGGACAACAAGGTCAACAAATAGAAAAGTCACGAGTCTGGAAAAAAACAAAAAACACACAGCCGTACAACAGAGGGACTCAACAACAGAAGATTCAATAACATCACTGTGGGTTGTAGAATTCATGATAATCTTCCTCATTATTCACATTATACAAAGATTATTTTCTGTCTTTCATGTAAGAATCTGGCTAGTGTTTTGTTGAGTAACATGTGGTCAGTTTTAAACAGATTGAGCAATATTTCCACTTCTGTCTGAATTCCCATCCTCCCCTGTCGTCTTCCTCTTTCACTCAAAACCGCCCCGGATCGCTCATGCACTTCCAATTTTCTGCAATGGCCATTTAAGAGCAATAAATATAACGGCCAGCCGCGCTCCGAACTACAGTTGACCTTTAAATACGACGGCTGTCATGAGCGGTCTGGACGGCAGAGGGATATCATAAGATGTGATCAGAGATAACAAAAAATAAATAAATGAATAAACTGTAATGACGTTACATCAGTGAAAATGCCAAGGACAGAAATAGTAGTGTGTGACTGAGTCAGAAAAGGGATGGAGGACATTTGTTTTCTCATGAAAGAAGAAGTGAAGATTCATACTGGAACCATAAGCAGTACACCTGCTTGTTTGGTAACCAAGGGACACCTGCATGCTGACTTGGAACCAAATTCCAAAGTAGATCTTTGTCAGAACACAAAAGCAGAGTGCGTGAAAAAGACGCCATTGTTTTTTGTGTTTAACTTCTTTTGTTCTGAGGACTAAGTACTGGGATTACTTTCTTATAGTTTTTAATGACGTATAATATATGTTTATAATCACAAGGAAGAAAAATAAAAACACAACTAAGTTCTTTCGTCATGGTTCACCTTTTCCTCTCTCTCTCCCTTCCTCATTCTTTTTCTGAAGAGACAGAAATACACAGACAGAACCATAGATAAGAACATCTGTGTCACTTCAGCTTATCACTGTCACAGTTTTTAACTTTAGAATCATCAGCCAATTGACAATGACAAAACAAATATCACCTGGCATCTGAAGCACGTATCAACTAATGTTTGCAGAAAATATAAATATAAAATCTGTCTTTTTAATATGGAGGGGTGTCGCCACATGTTTTTCAATTTAGCTTTCAGGTGCAGTTTGTTAGTGCTAATCAGACTGTGAAAACTACTTGAGGTGCTTCATAAACAGATTTGATCAAAACAATTTTCTCAGACTGAGCTTCAGAGTAGGGATGTACCAAATGCATCGGTATAACATCATTATCGGCCTTGTTAAGAGACATCAGCCCATTGAAAAATAATGAACCAATGCCAGCAGCTGTTGTTTATCTGTTGTTTCCTATCCATTACATACTGACATATAGTACACCTAACTACTGATTAAGCGAGGAGGCTTTTTTAATCGGGCAGTGGACGTCCACTGTTGGACAAAATCTGATCCCTTTTTTTGTGGTCAAACAGGAGAGAAAATGTTGGCATTGTGGGAATCTAACACCAACAGAAGTTTTCAAAGTTTTCAAGACTTCACATTTGTGACAGAGAGCACGCATAAGTTTGAATGCATAAAGATGACTTTATTTCTATGTATCAGGCCAATAACAGATATTTATAAGTAACATAATTCAAAAAGTCAGATCTACTTTTTTAAGCATGATTAATAATATGATAGGAAAATAATGAATGAGGAGTTTTTGGCTTCTTTCTCAACTATTTGAAAATGTCTCTTTAAAAGACTTCCAATATAAATGGAAAGGCAAGGCAAGTTTATTTAGATAGCACATTTCAACAACAAGGCAATTCAAAGTGGGTGGAAAGGCAACCCTCGATAGATGCAATATCCCTTTAGCTCCTATAGCCAGTGAAAGGAAAGGAAACACAATATACATATATATAAGGAATCTTTTTCTGCAGATACCAAGCAAGAAATACATTTCTGTTCTCACTATAGTTTTCATTATTTCTATTGAGTTATCAGCGAAGGCCATGGAAGGGTGTCAAAAACAACAGGAAGTATTGTGTCTGTCTTTGGTTTGCCTGATTTGATTAGAGCAGCAGCTGCTGCCTCAGTGCAGGAACAATAATGAAACACTCAGAATGAAACTGGAGGTGAATGACCTTACTTAATGCCCCTTTTTATTGAAGAAAAATACAACCTCAGGCTAATATAAGCTGGCTGTCAGACATATTTATAAAAAAAACATACAGAACAGGTCATCTCCAGTGCCAGTTGTGTGAATGATAAGCTGATAACCAGCCTTGCATGGTCTTAATTGGTGTATAAATGTGTGAAAAAGGCGATGCTAACATGTAGTGAAAAGAGCCTTGATTGGTCCAGAAGACAAGACAGATGTTATGTAAGTGAATTCCATTCGCCATTTGTTGTTCTATAAGCAAATGATGGGAGGGATTAAACCTTAGCATTTAATAATTACACACTAGAGGATTTCTGAACTTGTAATGCAAGACAAATCTCCATGCAAATGGACAACTAAGTGTTATCTTATCTGAGTTATTAAACACATATGCAGACCAGATCAGGTTATGTATGAGTAACCTTATCGCTTTAAAGAACAATGGGTTACAAGACTGTGATGACTGACAGGTACCGGATAGTGTGAGAGTGAGGATCACCTGGCGGGCTGGGTGAGGACATGACAAAGCAGGAGGAATGTGAGTGATGAGTCAGCAGGGGGACACGAGGTGATATGAACAAATATGTATAACATGTGGATAAGTATAAATATTGTTGACTGCTGATTGTTTCCTCACATGTGCATACCTGTCTGTCCAAAAGCAAGGAACAACTAAGAAATTCCCGTGCACTTAACCTGACTGTGGCGTCAGTGTAATCTGTGTTTCTTGTCCAAAAGTGATGCAATCATTGAAGCGTGTGCAAATCAGTCCTTCGGCTTGCAGGAAAACAGTTTCTAGAGTCTCTTCCTCTTCTGTTACGGAAATGCACTCATTGTGCGCCTGGAAAGTTGACTTTCTGCGCTCACTAAAAGATTTCTAAGTTGCGCCATATGACTGCAGTCACATGAACGAAACACAGAACCTAAAATTCTTACTTAGCATATTCCGATAGAAATGTGCATACATGACAAATGCTATGCATGACTGTGATTTACATTTTGTAAAGATAAAGCAGCCCAAAACAGGCTGAGAGGAACACTCAGGCTTAGAAAGAGATGTCAAAAACAAGTAAAACTTATGTTATGAATAATCCTGAAACAATTCAACAAGACATCATTTTTACTGTTCATGAAGCAAATGTAGCCAAATTATGAGAATTCAATTCAAGAGAATACAAAGAATAAAAAGGCCTGTATGAGCCTGGGATCATTCCTATTAGACTTTGACATTAATTTACATAAAATTGACAGTTTAGAGGTTTCGCGAACCCACAAGGAGGAAAAAAGCGTCTAAGCATCTACTTAATACATACACTTAAAACACACCTCACTGTGACATGAAGAGGAAGGAATAAGAAAGGAGAATGCCTCTTGTCTTTAAGTGGTACTCAGACATGAGAGGGAGAGAGTGAAAGAAAAAGGGGGAGGGTGGGTGGTAGTGTGAGCAGGAATCTTCTGACTGTGAGTTGTGTGTATTCATGCATCCCTTATGTCCCTGTGAAGCAGACATACGTGTGTGTGTGTGTGTGTGTGTGTGTGTGTGTGTGTGTGTGTGTGTGTGTGTGTGTGTGTGTGTGTGTGTGTGTGTGTTTTACCTGCATCCTATTGTGGTTTGTAGCAGGGTGGTGATCCCTACGCAGAAGAAGATGGTCCCAATGAGCTGGCTGGTTGCCCACTGATCGAAGCCGACGCACATCGCATCAGCGAGGAGAAATGGCACCGCGATGGTTCCACTGAAACATGTCAAGTAGTGCTGCAAAGACAAGAAGCCCAGAGTCAATGCATAAATATGTGTGTGTCTACGGTAGGTTTTAGTCTGTGTGCACAAACAATTTGTGCCGTGGCATGATGTGTTTCATCGTTTTATTTATTTTGTTAAAAACACAGAACTTTAATTTTATTTTGTACACTCAGTACAATTGTATTAGTTATCACTGAAATCTCCCGTAATTTATTATGGATCCCTGGCAGGCGTTGCTGAACATTTCAGTTGTGGGAAAGCAATAACATCATTTTGGTGGCTGGCGAGACAGTCTATAGTGTCCAAAAAGTCCCAATTGTGCCAACGAGTGCAACATATAGTCCACTACGGAAAACTTACTATGTAGGCAGTAGGGAATGAGTGTGCATACTTTTTAAGGATTGGGTGTTACTAGCTTCCATACATTAAAGGAAAAATGCACCAAAAACATATGAACCAAATTTGGCAGATGAGGAATTGGAGACCTTTATTTAAAATCTGGAACTTAATGCACCATAATGATTGTTTAGACTTTAAAACATGAACTCTTAAATGTGATAAAAGGAACATTGTCAATGCCATATTCATTAGGAGACAAGCCAAACGGAATTTAAAAGATTGGAAGATGGTAGAATTATTGTTCTGTATGTATTGCCTTTTTATAAGCATTTCATAAAATCCAAGTTTGAATATATTTTCAAAGACAAGTTTACTACATCTTGTTTGAGCTTTTATTTTGACGGGGCTGAAGTGCTCACTAAGTCCCTTAGGGGTGTTGTCTTTCCTGAGTTTCACAGATACAAAGGAGCCATAGAATGATGACTAAGCGATAGAGAGAGATGATAAAGGACAATGTGTGTTTTCAGATATGAACACAACATGTCAGTAACCCACTGACCAAGCAACAATACAACTACTGTGACCTAAATCTTATATCGGAGTCTGTGTTCAGTTAGATAATGAACACTGTGGACAGTTGAATGTAAAATACTGCACTTAGATGATGAAACACACAGAAAAGGTTATGACACTCTCACTCTGATTATACGGGACTTGTGTAAGTGGATGTTTTTCAGACGTTTACAGAAACAAACAGATCTGTTATTCATGTACAGAAAACATTTTAATGATTGATAATAGCTCCTTTAAGTCAGCCAAGATTTAGGAACAAAAACAAAACAGTAACACAGTTAAGTCTTTATATTTACCTGTAGGCCTAAGAACACACACAGGTACCAGGGTGGGGTGTCTTCTATAGTATAGATCATATCCATCCTCCTGGCGTCAATACTGTCTGTGCTGTCTAACGTCTCAGACATTGAGCTCTGAATAAACAATGACACAAAAGAAAAAGGATGATTATTTCATCATATTTTCTTGACATGTTTAACTTGTCCTATACCTTTCTCCTTATGTGAAGGGTCAAAGGGCATAATCAAAGTAGAAAGAGACACAGGGATAAAGAAAGGATGAGGGTAAAATGCAAACACACAACTGTATTCTCTCAGTAAAGGAAAATGCACAGTCACCATTACAACGACAAAAGAGCACAGGACAGGAAAGAGAAAAAAAACAACATGTAGAGAGAGTAGTCAGCCACAGATTTTTGTTTTTTTTAAATATCATCAGCATTTCTCTGTAGTAGTTACACTGCAGATGAGTCTGTGTTTTACTGTTTAAAAAAAGTATTTAAGTAAGCGTGATTGTTTTGATTCACAAAACAACATACATATAGAAGTTAGTTGTGTTGGAAATAAAACTCACACTAAAAAGGTACTGGAACTTTTAGAGGAAAATACATGAACGAAGGCTGTTCTGAAGATAAAACTGAAAACTGGTCATGACTTATTGGACATCATAGTTTCCCCTCGCTCTTAAGGCACATTCAAAGAAAGCTAGTTCATTATATTGAGTTTACCTTAATGAGACAGGAGAGTTCAATTTGTTTCAAAATCAACAGTGTGAGATCAGAATGTTATAAACAGATCACCTACTATACGCACACGCGCGCACGCACACACACACACACACACACACCTGATGGACCCACCCACTAAAAGACTCTTGCAAGAATAACACATTTCTAGCAATTTCCATTACTAAAATTATTTTATTCTAAGTGAGAAATCCTCCAACTCTGCTCACGGTTACTGTTGCTAAGGGGACGATTATATCTCTTTGATATCAGCCACGCTGTCTGTTTACTCTCCTCTCTGCTGTATGAGAGCTGCTGACTCTAGCATTTCCTACAGCCTCTGTTGAGCTCCACGTTTAAAAGATGCAATAGAAGAAACACAAGATGATTTTGAATCAGAACGGTTTCATAAAACACCGCAATAGTTTTTTTTTTTTTAATCTATGAAATGTAATAAAACAGCCACAGTGAGCCTTCAGGGGAAACAGGCAGGAAACCTGCCATTAGTCAGCGAGGAAAGTGCTCTCACGCTCTGATACTGTGTGGAAAACTACTCACACCATGTGACTTCTTTTACGAAACAACGCAACTTTGTTTGGTTGCCTCGTTAACTGATACAGCAGTTGGTGTTCAAGGATTGTTTGCTGTATTAAACCACACGTGTTGTTGCTAAGGTAACCAAGAGCATTGCTACTGAAAACATGAGGATTACATCTTCTATGTGGGGGAAAGGTGAGGGATTCTCTCGTGTGATTATGAGTAAGCTTTTTCAAACCACGTGACTGTGCGTCATTCTCCTAAAATAGAGGCTTATTTTGCATTTTAATAACACTCTGACTCTGACTAGTGAAATACACAAAAAAATGTCTCTTGATTTACCTTTTCTGCTCCTTGATTCTCTTTTGTGTAGATAGCCATTAGCTCTGTGTTCTCAGTATCCTGGTCTCCACTTGCCCCGCCCACTCCGTTGACCACCACCTTAACACATCAACAAACATATACATACAGTTAAGAGTTTTAATATAACCCCCTTTCAGTCAATACAGCAATAGATAAGGCAATCTAAAGGACAGTATGCCAGAGCATCCTGGACCAGACAGCAAATTTATGATGACACCTGGTATTCTGTTTTGGTTTGCTTACAAAGCCACAGGAAGAAACAGGCGAGGTGAAAGAGTGTGGCAGTCAAAAACAAAACAAACAAACAAACAAAAAAAGATTTGGCAGCATGAAAACATGTGTGCAGAATCATGTTAGAAAAAGATTTATGGCTCCTTTAGTATCTGAAAAAGACTAGTCCCAAGAGCATGGCATGTCAATCATATAAAGGAGCAAAAAGGAACACACTCTGAGGGAGATAAAATATTATAAATATGTGCATTTCAAGTACAATACAACACTTTCCATTCCTAAAGGACAAGATACAAAGAGATGGAAGGATTTAGCCAGGCTAGTCCTGGCAGTAAAGACAAGCAGCCGACAAGTCGAATCTACTGCCAAGATATGAATCAACAGTCCCGTCATCTCTTCTGGCAGCAAAAGCAAAGGAAATACCTTTGACTGTTTTCATGCATGACCTTAATGCTTACATACTCTGTGGTGAATTGCTCAGAGTAAACACTGAGCAGCAGAGTTTTTGATGAAATGTTGGACATGAACGTCTATAACCTCAGGGTTATACCGGGACACTAATACCTCCCCACAATGAGCAATACAGGCAACATAAGAGCCATGGAAACTTTAGACTTGTACCATATTTTACATCACTTTCTATTGCAGGGATCAGTGACAATAAAATGGTATTTGGATGAAGCTGCAAGTACTGTACTTACAGTGAACTTGTAAAGTTTATAAGGTGAATGCATAACATCCTAACATTGTGAAGACAATGTGTTAAAAGGTAAGTGACCTCTGATTTAAGGTTATTGTTTCTGCATAAAAACAAGTTTGACTGCTCTCTGTTTATAACTCCACAAACTCATACAATGAGGTTAATAAGACTTTCCTTCTGCAAAAACTTGACTGCTAACTGCTTGAATTTCACCTTCACCAGTCACTTTTAAAAAAACATTTATTTTCCTTGGCTTTTACCTCTAGTTGAGTGTTTTATCTCAGCAGCAGTGTCTATTAGAACTTTTACTATTGTTTTGTGTTTTAATTCACTTTTAATTTTTGCTTTTACATGTTTTTAATGATGTTTTGGATGTAATGTACTTTGCCTGATTTACTGTAAAGCACTTTGGTCTGCCTCGGCTGTTATAAATGTGCTATATAAATAAAGTTGACTTGACCATGTTCACACTTCATTAACCGCAAGTCACTAAAAGTAGTACAAAAGTACAGAATTTGAGTAAATGTTTCTGGTAAATTTCCACTTATGGATTTGGGTATAAACATTTGTATGAAAACAATGTTTTGTGTGTTTTGTATATAAAAAACACACAAAACTATTGACTATTATTGAACATTGCGTTAATTTTGGCTTCTGACCTTAACATAAAAGAAACTACCGAATGGTGGGGCAGCAGCAGCATGTACCAAAAGGCTGTAAAGTGTACAGATGTATGTGTGTGTGTGTGTGTGTGTGTGTGTGTGTGTGTGTGTGTGTGTGTGTGTGTGTGTCCGAGCCTGCTGCTGACAAAAGTAAGTTCCAAGTAAAGAGAATGCCAAATCTGAGCTTGCTAGTCAAAGAAAGAGTGGAGGAGTAGGGGAGGAGAAGGATTAAGACAGTAATTATACAGCTGGGTGGATATAGACCAAACCCTGTCTTTGTTTTTGTTTGATTATGTGAAACTGCTTTGGGCATGCCCATAACATGTCTATGACAACGTTTAAAAGAGTCATGTACCGGAATTGGGTAGAAATCTGCTCCATGCTTGCTCTCCTCTTCATATTTTCCTCCCTCACTGCTGCTGTCCAACGACTTGGAGGTGGTATTCTTCCCCACACCCATGCTTGTGTCTTTGTTGTCCTCCTGTTCCTCCTCCTCTCTCTCTGTCCCTCCTCTGTCTCGCTCTGATGTGAAAACTGCAGACGAATCCTTCAGTCCGATAACATCGTCTAGGACTGCTTCACCTGCTTGGGGGAAAAAACAAAAAAAAACAGACAAACCGAGAGAGATTAACTAAAGAAATAATTTGACAGTTTTATGTATCCTAACCTAACCATCTTATTGACTGATCTCAGGTTGGGTAGTTTGTCTTTGATACTCCAATCTGAAAGGCTAAAGAATATTAATCGATATTCTGTTTTTTGGCTAGATTTGTTTGCTTTTCCTGATTTTTCAGTCATATTTGAGCTGCGACAGATTATGTCGGATTATTGACTCCATATGCCTGACAAGGTGATAAATCAATCCAGCATTAGAACAGCTAATCAAATGTCTGATTATAAACTAATCTTTTAAATAATCTTTCTGGGAATTAAGTCAAATTTGTAGCATTATTCAGACAGGAATAATCATTTTAAAAAGTCTAATAATAATGGACAAATTGTTTCAGTAGTACCAAAGAACAGAATAAAGAAGAGCACTCTTAGTAAAACATGGTTACTTGCTGCCTACTCCAATCATTGCCAACATTTCTCACAGGCACAAAAAGAGAGGAGGTAGGAACAATATAGAGACGAGAGATTATGCAATGGGCAGGGCAGAGTAGTGAAAAATGAACAGTAGTTTGGTAGAGCAGAGGAACAGAATGAGAAAAGAGGAGAGATGATGGAAAATGTACAGGAGGTAGAAAGAGAGAGAGGACAAAGACAGTTTAACCTCACAACTATGGTTCTGTATCTTTAAGACAGACAGCATAAAACAGTCACATACTAACACAACCAAGTATTTAAAACTGGAGCACAAACCCGAGAACCTCTGTCCAAATTTCTCCTGTAGATTAGTTAGATTTCAAAAGGCCACTTTTATTTCCCGTCTGGTAAACTGATTAAAGTATCAGAAGATTATACTGCATTTATGTTTTCCATCATTCCAAAAATGTACTTATTATTAGGAAACATGACTATGGAAACTTCCTGACAGAATAAAGATTAAGACACTAAACAAGTACTCTCTGAGCTGCACTACAGTGAAAGAATTCTTCTCTTACAGATGGAAGTCACACAGTGGGTAATCAAGCTTTAGATATCAGCAGACAACATGTCTTAAGCAATAAGCCTGGCACCACTGTTCAGTGCATTAACACAGCTCAAATAATGTGTTGTTGTTGGAACAAAGTCTTTATTTTAAGGCTCCTTGAGCAGACTCATGTCCTAATCCAGCACATGAAGCATATGCCACTGAAAATCAAACAGCAGAAATGTACTTCATCAACGATGACTGACAGGTTCATTCAAGAAGTAGTGTTGCAACACCAAAGACTATTTCAATGTTGCTTTAGTAATGCCCTGAATGTCAACATAAGCCTCTGAATAAACAAAGAATCTCAGATGGATAAGAGTGAACTTCATGTTCCCTGCGTCACACTGGACTGTTATACCAAGCTTTCATTTCATGATTAAAAAGTTCATTTAATTTACTACTAAGAAGCAGAGTTACCCAACCAACCCCACACACACTGATCTTATATGACAGTGGTATCAATAAAAAAACTTGATAAAGATTTTTGTCCTCATATAAGATATATGTGTGTATACAAATCCGTGAACATGTCTCACAATTACTTTGAATCCACGTTAAAAACAACTTTAACACTAGAAAGACCAAGGCAGTCAGTTTGACTGTTTTTAAATTTTGCAATGTAATAACTTACTTAAAATAAAACCTATGTAACTACAGGACCGTGACTTTTCCTAAATGTGTCTATATTTTATTCTAGCATTGTTATTTTATCAAAAACACAAAAGACTTTTGAGTATTTCTACCTTGAAAGTCCATTATAGCCATTGTATCATTCCAGTATTTGCTACTTTATCCCGCTCTTGAAGGTGCGCATTGCCGTTGCCTAGCAACTATTGTTTATAACGCTCGAGCCAAGGAGGAAAGAAAGCTTACCCGCCTAAATCCATATAGAAAGAATAGAAGACATACATTTGAATTAATCAACATTGAAAAGGCAGAATAGAGTAAACTAGGATCTGATTTAGAACAGAATAGAACGAAGTGTCAGGAAGGAGGAGGATTGCTGCCACAGAGGCTCCAGAGCCTTGATGAGGCAGAGTCTGATGGAGGCGCAGGTTCAGATACAGAAAGCGATGTCTCCTGGTCTCTTGAAACTTCATCTGACACTGGCTCTGAGATTGAACCTGAGAATGATACAGAGATCATTCCCATTCGCAAAAAACGCCGGCTGCTGTTTCCGTGGTTGTCGATAAACTATTCAAATGTCAAATTTGTGTCCTGAAGTTTATTATACCTTTCACAACATTACAGATCCATTTATTCTTATATTTGATATTGATTATTGAAATTATATGCAAATAATTCGTAAAACAGTCAAAATGACCGCTATGGCCTTTCTAGTTGTGATAGTATGCTGGTCGTTCTAGTGTTAAAACCAAGAATTTGATTGAGCTATTCTAAAACTGTAAGATCTGTGATTCTAAATTAAACATATTTTTTTAAACAAAATATGTTGTTTTGTTTTGTTTTGTAACAAAAAAAGTTGACCATTCACTGTCAGCTCTGACAAACTTCAAGGAACAGTAGAGGCCCACCAACACTATGTGCCCTGACACCACCTCTCCTCTGTGTTATATTTCCTTCTCTATGTATTTTCCTTCTTTTTTTCCCAGAATCTCCTTTCCCACCAACTGCTTGCAGTGTAAAATGTTGGGATAGGTGTAATACCTAGTTGACACATCCCATCACTCCTGTCAAGCTGGGCGGCTGGGAGCATCTGTGTGGAGGGGCAAGAAAAAGAGGGAGAGGAAGAGAGAGATAAAGAAGAAGGCGGCAGGAAGGCAGAGCGGAAAGAAGAGACCGGGGAAGAAGCAGAGGGGAAGAGGAGGTACAGTAGGAGGGTCAAGGATAAGGAGGAGGAGGAGGGAGGTAAGACATAAGTTAATTTGACAGACAGCATTTAAAAACATGCAAAAGTTAGTGTGTAGCGTTACTGATGTGTTGAGTTTAACTCAGACTCTCAATGAAGTGTAGATTTAGAAAGGCAGTGAAAAGTGAATTGTGTTGCAATTAAGTTTCTAACCTATAAAGGGTGCCTGTTATTTAAGGAATAATGATAGAGCTACAAAAAAAAAAAAGTCTCACAGGTGTATCCAACCAAAGTACACCTTACACAGAAAAAGCACAATTTGAATGAGTATTACATTATTTTTTGTCATGAAAGAATCAAGCCACTCTCCAAGTCATGCTGTACATGCTTGTATTTAAAAATCAATCCTTTAAGAAGACAGTGGTATCCAGCTGTGTTAAGGAGAATTTGGCAACAGCAAGCAAAACAAGCAGCAAGAAGATCATACAAGTTTTAAGCCACATATAAGTCTGGTCACTGACCCGACTTTTTCTCTTGGGTGAGTCTGAAGTCTATCCATATTTCCCATCCTGTCACTAATGCATAATGCATGTACAGCAGGCAAATGACGCTTGAGATTATATAAGTAGCATAAGTAATCAGATGTTGATCCTCTTTTGAAAGCATCACTCCTCTAAGAAAACCTTTATTTTCTTTCCTTTAAAGCTGCTGTCTTATTTGATAGCAGCTGTACATTTGGTTACTTCAGAAATAAATAATAATTATCATTTTTATTGCAGTGTTTTAAGTTAGTCATGTAAAGCCTGGGTTACCTTAGAAACTAATGTACAATTATATTCATTATACTGTAGAAATCAAAAACACAAAATACTAAAATAAAATTCAGTCAAAGTCAGTGAATATGTTGTGAAGCACATGACAACAGAGCACATACAGTAAGTGACATCAAACCTAATAGCCTGAGGCTCTGTCAATACTGAAAGCTAGTTGTGAGATAGATATTGAGCATGACAGAAAAATATCCCAGCAGCCCCTGGGTCACTTCAACTGTGATGCGACATGAGCCAACACCAGAAGAGCCAGGCCTTAGAGACAGAGACACTACTCATCTGTGTTTTATGTCTGATGATGTTGAACATGAACACACATACATTGCATAGATCTACAAAAAACTTCAGACAACCAGAAGAACAACGGAGACAGAACTGAAGCCAGAGAAGAGAGAACTGAAACTGAGTTTGTGTGATTATGTAACAGATTGGACATTTGCAGATTTCATACATTTAAAATAACATCCCAAATTAAGAGCAGAGAAAATGTGTGTGTTTGCTTGTTAGGGAAGGGATCAAACACATTGGAAAGTCACTAAAGAAAAATTAGAGCTTGGAGGAACAAAGACGCTTGGGTGGTAATTTTAACTCATCCCAAAATATGCAGGATAGTGGACACCAGTTACCGCCTGGATCTATAACCATGGTAACCTGATCTGTGCACAGACTTGTATCATAATGTGCATGATGTCCCCCCACCCCGGTACGAGGATTTCACACCAGATGTTTGTGTATGTATCAACCCCATCCCCTCAAGATGCTGGTATACAGTTAAGTCATAGGTTTTGGTCTCTTTAAAGCCTGCAGCTGGTTAACAGTAATGGAAAGTTTTGTTTCTCATCCCTGAAAAATAACATTGCATATCTGTGGTTTTTCAAAATATTAACTTCTTTGCTGCAGAATGATTTAAATTAAAAAAAGAGATACATTATATTACAGTTGTGGCATGATTCACTTCTAGTGGAAATAGTAACTTCTGCATTACAGTATAGGGAAAAAAATAATATTATCATGACTGTATGGCATGTGTTCCCAAAACGCAAAATGCAGAGTAAGTAATTTTGATACGGAATTATGTCCAAAACCAGAATATTATGTACATGGCAGATTGTCTTAAAAACATGGCAAAATGTTACCACATTGGTGACTTCAGGGAAGCAGCAGGATTTTTTTTCTTTTTATCTGTGGATTTATTTCTAACCATCATGTCTGAATGTGCAGCTGGAGGTTACTGTCAAGCTACGCTGTGTCATCTTTGAAATGTTTGTATTTTAACTTTGGACATGAGCAAGTATGGACAGACACAAACTTAGAATTAGGAACATTGACCCTCCCTTACTTGTAAGACAATCAAATACTACAGATGATCAGAATACTCACTGAATAATTTTCATATTTCACATTACTTAACTCATAATCTAAGAACTTACAGATTCAAGAGTCACAAGCTAAACAATAAATAAAAAGTAGATAAACCAAAACACCAGCAACAATGCATCACAACACTAACTGACAGAATCGTTTCCAAAATGGGACAAACTATTTATTAAATCAAAAACTGGGCCAGAGGTGGACGTTAAGGAATACCTACAACCTTAACGATGATGATGATGGTCTCAATATTAATGATGAAGATGATGGTTGTGACGATTGTTTTTGTTTGATAACGATGACTTATAAGATGGTTTCTATACTGATTAGAGCTCTCAAGAACTGCCCTCAATGTTGTGCTTTGCCTCTGGTCACTTCCTGTCAGCACCTGTGTGTCCAATCAGACTCAAAGCTGATCGTTTGCTCTTACTGACATTGTTCCCTTTTGTTCTTGTTCCTTGCTTGTGTTGTACTTACTCTCTGATGTACGTCGCTTTGGATAAAAGCGTCTGCTAAGTGAATTGTAGAATTGTAGGTTTGTTTGGAAGTAATTTGCGTAAGTGCAGGAAAAACAAACGATTACAAAACCCTCACCACTGTCACATCATATAACTGACAGTGGTTATATGATGTCAGTTACATGACAGGTAACTGTCAAGATTGACAACCCAATTAACACTTCTGGGAGCTTCAGAGCTCTTTCATAACTGCTACAACAATAGATCAAAAAGAAACCTGAGACATAAACCAAAGTTATATGTGTATAACATGTAATGACATGTGTGTGTGTGTGTGTGTGTGTGTGAGCCACACGTGTACAGGTTAGGTGAGACAGCGTTTAACACTTAACATGTAATGGCACACGTGAGGGTTTCCTATTTAACCATGAGGGGAGTTTGTAAAAACGGCTGCAAGGTCATGTTTACAGGAGAGGTGAATGGAGATAAGAGCATTTCAGGGACAGCAGGCTGCTCAAAGGGAATGTTTCACCACGCAGAAAGACAAATTACATCATATGTGTCATTGAGATTCAAGCTCAACTATCTTATTGTTTAGTGTAAAAATGTTCAAATGTGCTTAATAAATACCATCACATAGCCCGAAGTGACACCATCATATTGTCACAAGTCTTTTGAATGTCTCTTTAATCTTTCTTTTTCTAGCACTGTGTATATTTTTGATTCACAAATTATGAACATTTGCATTCACACATGTATTTGGACTATTTCTATTGTGCTATTCTATAAGTGCTGCCCTTCTGCACAAATGATTCCCTGGGAATTCATACAAGTGCTGAAAAGCACCTTATCAATACATATTTAATTTACACTATTGTAAGGTTGACAAAAGATCAAATCCTCAAAGGTTTGGGGGGGTTTGTCTGACAAAAGTTGTTAATTATTATTATTCATTAGATAACCTGGTAAAGTTTGAAGCTGAAACACTTAGCCTTTCATCTCAAGAGCTAATCAACAACAATTGCCTTTTTTTTCCCTTCATTCAAACAAGTCAAGTGGATTTCAACCCCAGATACATGTGCACACACGCATGAACACATGTAAGTATTTCAATTTTTCATGGACAAATAGAAAAGGAAGAAAGTGCACACGTGCGAGATGCTCTGCTTTCATAACTCGATTATGTCATCTGGGCAGATCACTGGGTGCGTGAGTGTTTTTGTCTCGTTATTTTTTTTACTGTACACACCTTAATTAATGTGATATTTGTCTTTACTTTTTTCATCTAAAGAGATAGAAGAATGTTTATAATGAAAAGAAAGGACTGCTTTGGGCTCAGGCTCTTATTAGTGAACATATGTTGTTCACAGAGGTGGATTAGTCTGTTGCTGCATGATCAGCAGCTCTACTAAATGATCTTTCTGAATGATAGGAATAGTACAGGCAACAGTTTGTCAGTATAATAGTTGGCTCTTCACTAACTTAATGGCCGTATCCGAATTGCCAAGTACATACTGAATCTTTCAGTATGCAGTATGTACTATCCGTGCTGCATACTGTTAGTACCTACTATTCAGTATGCGCGCACAGTAGGCAGATATTTGTTCCTGCTTCTTCTGATTCATTCAGTAAGGAAGTGACGTCATTTACGTTTCCCGAACCGGCCGCATTCACCCGTTTTTTTTAGCTTTCTTCAAGAAGAGTAATGCGCATATACAGTCAGGTAAACAAAAAACAATATCACAATGTAAATCAAGTAAAAGATTAAATAACTAAATAACATACAGTACATAAGAAAAGTACAAATGAAAGACAGTAATATACAGTATAATATTCAGTATACTGAAACTCCATACTGAATAGTACTGCATACTGAACTGTGACAATTCAGAAAGGGCCAATGTCTCTGGCACAATTGGAAATATGTCTGCTACTTCAGCACCATGAACAGCTCCGAGGAGTTATCAAAACACAGAGCAGTTAGATAGCTACTATACATGGTTGAGCCAGGGCTCGTCACTTTCATAAAACCAAAGCAGTTAAAGGGTCAATGACTTATAACTCTGCCCGAGCACGCTGCTACTGTAGTTAGAATGTGCGTAGAGGTTGCAGATGAAGATTGCATTAGAAATTTACTTACTTATTAGAAGCTTAATTAGAAGGTAATTAAGTCATCTTTCAGATAACAATGAACTTGAACTGTGTTGTGTCCTATTTTGCACGATCTGGTCTGAAGCCAGGATAATCC